ACAACTTAAGCCGATTTCAAAGTGATATACCTGTTAAGACTTGTGGTCCGATTAACAAATAATCTTCAATTCAAAAAACTAGCTTATCCAATAATAAGGTATTCTTCCAATTCTACTAATAATTTTTATAAAATTGGGTTCTCTATTAGTAGATAAATTCGTGACTTAGGATAAAGTGTTATTCTCGGTGCTTGACTTCTCTATTTACCCACCCAATCAACAGCTTGAGTGTGCGGATGCCGGGGCGTATACTTGGTTTGATTAATTTATGACATTATCATCCGGCATTGGGCAGCCAAGTCACGTGATTGTTTCCAACCACATTAGAGTAGTTCGCACTGATTTAATTTCCGCCCCGGCTGTCGTCAAGGGCCACTTACAATTAGAGCGGGGATTACGTGAAAACGAGCCCACTACTTGGGCCCAATCGAGGGTCGTTAAATAGGCGCAGAGCGAGAGTTCAAAAATCAATGCCGAAAAAATCAAAAGTTTGGCTAACCCAAAGTTGAAGCCCCCACTAATTGGTGTTTAATTGGGTCCGGGCAAGAGTGCAGCAGCAGTCGAAAGTTTGCCAGTGAGCTTGGAATATGTGCATGGAGCCGCCACAAATTCTGGTTAACTAAAAGCAAGCATCCTCTAAGCCTGGCCAAGCACTTGCCACATTTGCGCTGCATTAAAAATGCATTTCCCCCCTGCTCCTTGCAGTGTGTTTAATAGTCTATGCAACAATGTGAATGTGTGTGTGTGCGGGTGTGTGTGTTTGGAGAATGGAGTTTGGAGGGCGTAATGCTGATGGCGCTCGTTCCCAGACAGCCATATAATTTGAACATCATGAAGTGCACTTATCAGGACGGTTGGCAAGCACTGCAATAGATAAGCATCAGCTGACTGAGTGTGTGGGTAAAAACTGCATTATACTTACCGAAACTGAAGCAATCTTGGAACCTGCTGGTTGGCTGGGCAACTCAAGCTCCCATTGTGGCATCCTCCTAAGCCATTGCTTATTAAAACGTACCACGACATCCTCGTGGTTTGGCTATGCTTGCACTCGAAAAAACCAGTTTGTTAGATTTTATATGCTAATATTAACTATCAAGCTATTTTTAATACATTTCTCCAAACTTGAGTCATTTGAGAAACATTAAAAAAAGATCGATTACACAACATCAAAATGTTTTCCTTTTTCATTATAATTCAGGATACAATTTTGAAGAATAGTATGCATTTTTTAAGGAGAACCCAAATGTATTAACTAATTTTAAATAATGAAAAAATCACTAAACAGTAGATTCAACTAGAACAGCATCATTATTTTCCCACAGTGTGGGATTTCGTTTTTCAGTGAAAGCAGTTGACTTTGATTGCCGTTTGGACAACGCGTCGTATGATTGTTTTTAGCTTGGCTGCAGAAGGGCAAGCCCGGCAGAGCCAAATTGATTTGTGCACGTGCACGGTTAGCTAATGAGGTACGGACCAACCCATTGCCTTGCCGGATGGCATTCGGAAATGCTTTGGAGTCACCGCTGACATTCTGTATCCCCCGAAGCTCTTCCCCTGCAATTCTCCGATTGCAACTGACAGGCTGCGAGGATGGGGTTGAGGATGCGGCTGGCAGGATGTATACAAGCTGGACAGCTGCCAGGTCAGGGCGTTTGCCATGTTCACTTAATTAACAACATTACGGCATTAACACACACCCAGAGCCACACACACATATGCTGTGAAAGTTGCATTAAAGTTTTATAATAAATCTAATGGTCAACAAGGACAAAACTGTAATTTTGTTTGTTGGTTCGTCTGACAGGAGGGGGCGTGTCCCGGCCCGCCTTTGTCTTTGCAATGGCTGACACATCGTCTAACGGTGCATTCGTGCATATGAAATTGCTGTCAACAAAGGGCAGCACCCACTGCCGGCGGGGTCAAAGGGGCAGGACTTCCTGCAACCGCAGGATGTGCTGCCCTAATGGGTTTGCTTGGCCTTAGTTATGGCAATCATGAGGTGACACACTTACTTGCTCCCCGAAACCCGTAGCCATGTCCCCAAAGTGCTTGGGGAAATCAGTGGCAAATCGACTGAAAACAAAATGAAAAATAAAAATGAGCCCGGTGCGAAGAGTGCCAAAAAAGCGATTGATAAGCGCCCAGACAGACAGGCGGCCCCCAAGGCCACCCATCTGGTGGCGAGTGGGTGGTGGGTTGCGGGTGTGCGTGTTTGATTACACACCTGGGACCGATCTACCCGCTCGCGAATGTGTGCCATTGGATTAAATCAATTTCGATGTTGACAGCTTTAATTTTCCTGCGTGCAGCAATGTTCAATTTGATGAGAGGTTTAATGTTTTTATATCTAAAGAACATAAGCATTTTTTTCACCTTAGCGACAATGGATTCGATATACTATTTCCAGTTCAGCTGCGTTATTAGCTTTTTTCCAGCGTGTGATTGTTGTGTTATATTACCATTTTTGGTTCTTTTAAAATGTAAAAAAAAGTATAAGAGACAATATTGTTATTTATTTTTCTAGCAAGCAAATCTACCATGAAGAACAGGAATACATTTGTGAATATAATGAGAGAAGGATGTATTCAGTTTGCCAGCATCTTTTATTCAACCCCCCCAATTTATTATCTTACAGGACCTTAATTTTGTGCCCCTCATGTATCGAATATATACGATAAGAAATTATTTTAGTTTAGCTTTTAAATTTAATTCCTGTTAGTCAAACACATGCAGGCCTTTCCTTCAGAGGTCAGCTAATAAAACAAATTAAAAATTAATATTTTCTGGTGAACGTGTGAACCCCAAAGAGCTGCCCGTTCCCGACGGACTTGCCCCCACCACAGACCGCAAAAGGTGGCTGGCGAGATTTGCAAATTGGCCAAGATTTATAGTGTTGGCCACAGCGGTTGAATCACAAGCGCACCTCCGTGCGTGCTGGTCTAAAGTTTTCCCAGCTCGCTGGGAGATGGAAATTAACGCAGGGACAACCGGAACAGCTGAGCTGAAACCAAAACAGGACCTGTCTGGCCACAGTCTGCCTGGGGTTTTCGGCCCTTTTTCGGGCCAACGGGCACCTGGCTAAAACGCAGGGGCGGGGGTCTCACCCGCATAGTAGACGGCTGCCGACTAATCTGTTAATTTATGTTGAAAAGTTCAAGGAAGTTTCGAAGCGCTTAGCAAACAAATTGCAATAAATTATTAAGAATATTTGCACACAACAGGGGCTGTGTGACGGGGCTGTTGTAGCACCGTTTTTGTGCATTTCATTAATTTATGTTTCGTTGCCTGCCAAAACTTCTCGCCACTTGTGTGGATAATTTGATTTCGCCGTAGAACAACTTTACACTGCCAGGAGGCGAGATTCACACGCCAAGATAAACACGAGAAGAGTCCTCCTGCTCTTTGTCCCTTATCCCTCATCCCTTATCCCGTCGAGGGTCGAAAGTGGCCAACGAAAAGTTAAAATGTTCTTATGCATAAATGATGCGCTGGCGCCTCTCGTTCTTTTTCGCTTTTCAACTGGCGACAAAATCCTCACGAAGTGCCCGCATTGCAGTTGTTTCCGCTTTGCTTCGTTTCACTTTGGTGCGACATGAAAACTTAATGTCGTAATTAACTGTTTGCGTTTGCGCTTTAAGAATGCCCCCAAAAACGGTCGAGAGTTTGGTCGCGTATACGTCTCGTTGCTCCTTAAATCGCGTATGCGCCCCTTGTGCCTTGAGCCGAGATTTAAACGCATCGCGTGACCCACTTGCAGCCTGCAACTTTCAATGGCAACTTGTCACTTTATCAGGCACAATCTGGCAAATGGTGTGACACGAATTTCCTGCCAGCAGCGAAACAAAACAAATAGAGCAAAACAAGGTACGATGATGGAAGCGAAACGGCTGACTGGCATTTCGACTGGCTGGCCCCAAACAGGAAATGGCTGTAAAAACATCATAGCACCGACTTCCACCCATACGAATTAACTTTGATGACTTGGCGCTAAAAGTAGTTACCAGGCGCGATTCCATTTCCGCCGCTTAACGTCATTAAAAGCGCTGAAATTGAAATTTCGGCCAACAGCTAGACTCCAAGGCTGAAAAATAGAAAAATCATTTTGCCGCTACCGGATCCGTAAATTCTTCAATTGGCTGGCTATGAAATGAGATTGTCAACTGCAATTAGCGCGCTCAATGTACCTTTCGGATGCGATTTGACTTCCAGGCAGCGCGTCCTTCTTGGCTGTCAATCTGCCAGATACTTAACCACTTGCCTGCCATCCTGTCACGCTGTTTACGGCACGCATCCTGAAGGACTGTGGCAAGGACACGGCACTCAGACATGCATTCGCTGCTCACTACTACTCAGTACTGGCCCCTCCAAGTTGCACATTTAAAGACTGCGGCGACTCGAGAGCCCTTCCACAGCCTGATGGCCCTTCAACTAACGCACCTCTACAGCCAACCACACTTGGATAAATGGGCCACACAAATGGTTACGAGCTGTTTTGCTTGGCTGCAAATTAAATAAACCCCGAAGATTATAAACTTATGACCAAAGTGGTGCCTCGAATGAAAACTTCCGCAGCAAATCCTCTTAAAATTATTTAAGTCGTTTTTCATATCAATTCATGGAGATTAAATAGGTCCTTTGTCAGGTTAAAATTACATATTTCCCTGTTTAAATTATAAAAGGTTTCGCTTGAACGTTAAGAATTTAAGTTTAGGGCAACGACCTTTATTTTAGTCTACTGTTAATCATTTAATTATTATTTAAAAGTTTAACAAATTTAAAAGTTACAAGCCAAGTTTAAAGGGTTTGGTTTTATCTACAGATTTACAGTGACCAATATTAATATTAATATTAATATTATTTCAATCAAGGCAAAGTGGCTAGCAGGAGCAAATAATTCGGCCCATCGTGAACTTATTATTTTAGGGCCATAGGATTGTCAATGTTTAATAATTAGGCCCAAGATATCCAGCTCTCAGGTATTTAAGTAATATGAAAATAAATTTTCTTTTACATTATAATGGGTTTTATTCAGCTTCAGTCGGAGATTTGTAACAACTATTAAAAACTAATTAGGATAAATGTGTGATGGCAATCACTTGGCCTGGCAGCACTTGGCTCCTGTCTTGGCGGCGCACTGACATTGGCTGTTTCCGGCGCAATTTCCTCCGCACTTGCCGGCTGAGCACTGGCAGTCTAAGGTTAAAATGTTTATTTGATTAGTATTCAATCGTTTTGATCTGATTTCCTTATTCCGATGGTCTTGTACTTACTGTTTCCGCATCCCTTGCAAGGCATCTTGTTGGTTATGTGGTTTGTTGGACTGTGCTGTTAACGAAACGTTGAAGCGTTTAAACTTTGTGATGACTTCTGGTTGCAAAACTCTGCTCTTTATACCCGATCCAGTCCAATCGAAACTATGGGCCGTGCTGACTGATAAGATTAGAAAGCCGTGTGCAGTTCCTCGCGATCGGCGTGCGCAAAAAAACATAATGATTTTGGGCCCAGCGATGATAAGATGATAATTTGCGCACGCCCTGATAAGAGGGGGATGGATTTGGTGGTGTGCAAAGCGCTGTTAGTACTATAAGTAGCCCTGGCCACTCAGCTGCAATCATCAAACAGTGCTTGCTAGCAGCAAAGTCAGTTAAATTCATATTAAATCTTCAAAGAAAAATCAAAAAATTAACAACATGGGTTGCAAGGCTTGTGGAACCAGTGAGTAAACAAATTTTGGGTCACCGAAAACAGAAACTTATATTTCGATTTAATCCTTAGACTGCCAGTGCTCGGCCACCAAATGCGGCGACAACTGTGCCTGTAGTCAGCAGTGCCAGTGCTCCTGCAAGAACGGACCCAAGGACAAGTGCTGCTCCACGAAGAACTAGGTCCTTAGACTCTTGTTAAGCTCCTCTGGACTTGTGTGATATATACGCCTACAGCATTAAGTCATAATAAATATTGAATCAACTCAATTTAATGTTTAAAATCAAATCTTTATTGGCCATTTTGACAAGAATAGTTCTTTAGTTATTTCCCACTTTAGTTTTTAAAATTGAACACCCAATTAGTGTTTAAAATTACATTTAAAACACTTACACAATGTACACAATTAATTCAAGTACACAGCGAGAGTACAGGACATTCAAGTAGTATCCAAATATCAACATTGTTTTTGGCGAGCCTTTCTCATGTGATTCTGTGTGTGAATGTGGGTGCTTGTGTATAGTTTTTGGGGAATGTGTGTGTGCGCTAGTTTTCACAATTAAACATCAAAAACATTACGTACACAATATAACATTTTGTTTCTCAAATTGTGATTTCTCAAAAGGAATTCCGTTTCCATTCGCATTTAACTGTTTGAAATGTTTATTAAATTGTTTATTTATTTGGGGGGGTGTACTTAAGCCTTATAAAATTCTTAAGGTTCACATAATAAGCTAAGTGTAGTGTAGTGTTATGTTATTATTGTTGTTCTTTACATAAATGATTATGTTTATGATCTCTCATACAAACGTCGAGTGCTCCTCGTGTCTCTGATAACTGACTAAAAAGGCAATCGCATTTGTCGCATTTGAAATGCATTGCAAACTCTGCCCTGACTCAAACAAAAAAGTTTTAAAAAAATATACATGGATTAATTAAATTTTTGCGCATTTTCAGCATTGGAAGCCAATAAAAAAAGGGGTTCACATAAAGCAATTCACAATGTTACTTAGAACTAAACTAAAAATAACGAAAACATTCTTGGCGTTGCTGCACTAGTTGATTTGTTTTCATCGTTTCGTTTAACTTAGGCTTAGCAAGAAATGTTTTTGTATTTCAAAATTTTAAAATTAGGTGATTAAAATTAAAATCAAAATCAAAAATTTAGATTCAACAAATAGTTACTCACTAACTAAACCAATTCTCTCGTCATTATCATTTAAACATAATGTTTTGTCACAGACGAACACGTCATCGTACAAAAATAAAATTATTTCTATATAAGTATATATAAAGGTATATATAAAAATATAAAACGAATAACATGCAGACACATTTCAAAGTTTTATAAAAAACATATATGCTAAATTCTGCATAAGTCAGACACATTCATAATCATGGTATAAAAATGTTCTGTTTGTGTGCTGAAGGAGTTTGTGTTGAGGTGTCGCAATTTGCATGCATTGCTCTGGTAGATCTTATTGTGGTTCATGTTGTTCTTGTGGTTTGGCGTTTCACAAAAGCTGCAAGGATAAAGGTAAGATTTGAGTTTAAAAAAATTATCAAAAAACATGTTCTAAGTAGTAAGTATTAGGTACGCGAGTAACATGTTAAATCTGAAACTATCTTGTTTTTTAAAAATATTTATTCACCAACTGCGGCATGAAAGCGCTTGTAAACATATATACGTATATAAATATATAGATAATCTGGATGTAAATTCGTAATTTTATTTCATTCCTTGTGTGGAGCGTAAACTCTTCTAAATAATCTTAAATAGCTATCGGATCCCTGACCAGTGAATCAGGCTGATTTCCCTAAACTTCCTCAAGATTATTATCTTGATTGTTTATTACGTATGTAAGAAGCTCAAAATTACGATTAACGTTTAAAATACGTTTAACAATTGTAAAACAATCGAGAACATTAAATACGTAGCTTAATAAACATCTCAATTACAATATAATATTTACCATCTTAGGAAGAAACATTTAGCTACAACTTATTTCTTTCGTTGACGATCTGTCCTTATGTGCAAACATAAGTTTAGTGCTTTTGGGTGATTGTTAAATTGAAACAGTATAAAGAGATTAAATACATACCAAACAAAACCTTCCACTACGATGCATTCCCAAGTCTAATAATTACATATAGATAACATTAAATAAAATTTTCGAATAGCATATTGAGTCATGCGCCATATCGTTGCAATCGCTGAGGTGGCGAAAACATCATCGTCGGACTTCCAAGTTAGCGGTACACGTTCAGGTGTTTATCTAATTTCGTTTATACATAGACTTCTACATTTTTCACAGTAAGTTTAGTTATAATCCTCAAAGTTTGTCATCGAATCGAAGTCCGCAATTCCAAAGTCCCCACTAAAAAAAGTCACGAACAAGTTTGGGTAAAAATAAGAAATTAAATTAATAAATAATTAAAAATCAAGATGGAATAAATTAAAATCATGCAGGCATTACTTTTAGGGCAGGATTATAAGAATGAAATGGCAGAGAAGTGCGAAACGAAATGAAGATTAGCTTTTTAAGGAAATGTTGCATTGTATGACTTTTCGTTTTATGGAATCCAGTCCCTTAAGATATATAATAATATATAATAACAATAACATCAAATCGATTTAAAAATCACAATGAAAAATTACAACAGTAACGAGCATGCAAGCCTTGAAAAGGGCATGCAGTATATTTAAAATCTAACACGGTAATCGGTTTGAAACATTTGTCAACTATTTTAGTTTCTTTTCAATCTGAAACTGTCTAAATCGGAGGCTTGGCCAACTCATATCTGCCTAGGTCAGATTTAAAGGTGCATGATGGTGCTATTCTGCAAGCTGCGTTCAAAGTGAAATATAGAAGAGGGTAAATATAAGCTGTTAGACGGTATATCATTTAATATTTTAAAAAGTCCCTTGATTTGGTTTTTTTAAGTTCATAGAGTGTCAGCTGAAAAGTTTAAAAAGATGGCAATACTTTGAAACATTACGTTCAACAATAAAATAACTCACTTAAACTTAACGTAATTAATTGTTCATATTTTATAAATTTAGTTTGCAATCGACTTGAGTTAGTAATCGCCGTGCAGAGCCCATCTGAAGTTTATGAATCGGGAGGAGTGATTTTTGGCATGTGTTGCTGATGAGGCGATGCAATGGAATGAGATGACCAGCGACTATTCGATTAGGGAAAAGAGGAGATGGTGGTCAGGACGGATCGATCGGATGAGAGCGCTATTAAGGCATGAGTGTATGCGGACGAACAGCTCGGGAAATATCAACCAGCAAACGCGTGAAGTGATCTGCATTGCGTGTTTTGGATGCTAAACGTAATTAAATTAAATAGTTATACCTCTCGGTAAGTGGTCTGAATAAAAGACGATGGCACAGCTTATGCTCAACAATTATAAACGTACTGTCTATAGGGGCTCATCATTAGGGCATCATTGATCTCACTTATCAATGGATCGTTGGGTGAAGCAAATTGAACGATTTTCTCTAGGGCATCGGCCGTTTGACTAGCATCGGAATCTGATTCCTCATGTCGTGTTGGGCTAGGGCTATGGTAACTGAAGGCGCTCTCTGGCGAGATACTATACCGGCACCCAAAAATCAATAGCCGCAATAGGTTGAAAATGAAAATAAACAAAGAGTAGGGTATGTAAGTGTAAGTACAAATAAGTAGAGTCAAGTGACATGAAGAGCTCATCAAAGTGCTCAGCCAGAATCTTCAATTAATTTTATTAGTTCGAATAACAATAAAGCCTCAAATTTGGATTAGTCAGGAACAAACGCTTTCAATTTCATCACATTGCACCCTTTCATGTCTCTTTTATCGAATTCAAAGTATTGCAATCTTGTTAAACTTTGTGTCAAAATCATAAACAAAACAAGGCAAAGTAAAGCAAAAAAGCAGAAGCATTAAAGGCAGATCGGCCATGACATAGAGGCTGTATCGATCATCTCGGGCCAATGATTAGCCCTCCATTCAGGCACTCAAGCCAAATATAAGCTCTATAGATAACAAATGGATTATTGTTTTTGCTGTTGCTGTTGGCAGTCGGATTGGTGTAGTAGCAGTGGCGTCGACATGCAAAACTTACTTTCCCAATTGCATGGCATCCTGCTGCGACACGTGGTGCGGTGTTCCACTAGTGGATCCGTTGTCTCCGTTGCTACAAACGTGGACGTGCAATTGGCTCTTCACATATCCTGTCACGGGATCTATATCGATGGGTTCAGGTTCTAATTAGGCGTAGACCGTATCCTCTAGAATTTCATTCTTACCTTGACGCTTTGAATAGAACTCGCCGAACGCGGCGTCCCTCTTTACGGGAGACGAATTACGATCGCTGGGATGCAGCCAACAGAGAACATCGAGATCTCGGATACGATCGGCCAGGCTCAACACCTGGAAGTCACGTGCTGTCCAGGGCACCAGCATGGTGACGTGCCCATTTTCGTTTACATATGCGATACTGACTCCACCTGAAGTTCAAAAGCAAATTTTAACAAATCCGTGAAACCTTCAAACGAATCTACACTCACCTAGCTCGCTGTCGGAGAAGCGAAGCAGGAAGGTACCAATTCCACAGACTGAGCGCAGCAGGTCATCCTGTGCTTTGGCCTTGTTGATGAAGCCCATGATACAGCCAGCCTTCCACATGCCCAACATGTGATCTTTGGTGAGTTTCATGATGGCAAAGAACCATTCCCAGAAGGTGAACGACCGATCGGGCAAGGGTTCCTTGCAGAACTGGTTCCAAGTAATGTATTCGGAGCGCTCCTCACGCTGAAGCTTTTCGTCTATAAGCACAACAAAAAAATTAGGTTCAATCAGTACCAAAAACTGCAGATCCAACTTACATAGAAAGTCCAGGTTATCCATAGTCAAAGAGCGCCCAGTGCACGATGCGAATTTAATATTAAGCGCCACGGACAGCTGGGCCCAGGTGACACGGTCGGTGATTATGAAAGGATCGCGTACCCTCTCCGCGAACGCATTGTCCCATGTAATGGTCGCCCAAGACTGTGGCTCCTGGTTGCCGTGAACAATCACCACCACGGGAAGTGACAGAGTCCACACCCGCATTTGGAAATCGCTCACAGTGGTGGTGGTGTAGAAGAGCAAGCTGAACTTCTCGTCCATTACGCTCTCTGTGCCCTTCTTCTCTGCCCGCTTAATCTTCTTCAGCTGCATGTTGCGGAAGCTGGCGGAGAACACATGGTTATTCTGTTGGTACTCCATTGTGCTGGAGCAGTTCTGTATCTCTCCCGAGGTTTGTCCGGCCACGCTGCTGTCTATCTGGTGGTTGCGCGCGGAGAACCGCTGCGCTTGGTTTTCTGTGGATAAATTATGAAAAGTTAAGGTCACATATATTAACCAGCAAAAGCCACTTTTGATGTCACCTGACATGATGATGCACTCGACTGTTGGCGGATTATTGTGGAGGCCCAGCTGGGATCCCAAGAGCCAGCGAACAGAGGCCGCGAAGCGTGTGTTGGTCTTCATCACTTGTGGCGGCTGCTTATCAACGATGAAGGCGGAACAGACCAGGTGTTTTCGGGCGTTTTGCACCTGATCGAGCAATTGTGTTAGCTCCGGTTCTTCGTTGGTCAGACGCACTCGCATCGTCTCCTTAACGGCAGCCATCATGTGTGCGATGAAAGTCTCAAGTATCTCGAAGCAGCGCTGGATGTCTTCCAGGGAGCCTTCATTGAATGGCGCTCCGTTTCCGGCTTGCCTTTGTTGGTGACACCATTCATTCATCTCGTGCATGACCATCTCGTAAAGTGACTCGTAGTACATAAAGCTGCGACGCATTGCGATCACGATGGCCGCCTTCTCATCGATCAGATTTCTATAGGCCACGTCTGCGTTTGGCGAGGCTGTAGAGCTCAGCATGTAGCTGTAGTTCTGGACCAACAGCTTCAAAGCGTTGGCGCAGTTTCCGAATTCATTGAGGGACTGCATGATCTGGTGCTGCACCTCGTACAACTCCACTTTGGGTGTCGCCATTCCGAGGGCTGGAGAGGCGATTCCGCCTGAATGTTGCACATTGTGGACGCCCTGAACGACTGACGGATTGCAGCTATTCGACACCGCCAGCAGATCACCGGCGTCCATGTAGCCGGTAACCATTGGCGTATTGTTCATATTGTAAGAACTAAGCGGCATTGATTGGCCTGCTGTGGAAGCCACGCTCTTCTCGGTGACCAGCTGCAGCTCTTTCTGTAGACCTGTGCGCAGGTTAGTGTACAGCTCGACGGCGGATGTTCGTTGGATGAGGGCGCAGAGCTCCACCACTCGGAACTTGAGCGCTTGGTCAGTGGCGGTGCGCGTAGACAGAAGCTTCTGCTGCAGATCCTCGTTGAACTTTAGGGCTACGCGCTCCAGTTGCTCGGGAGAGTTTGGTGTAATTTGCTCCGACCTGTGGATTATAAGATAGTCGACTATTAAATCATGCCCTGTTCATAGAGTTAAGCGGACTTAATCGTATCCTGCTGCTGGCCTTAAAAACCCCGTTATCCCCAACTTCCAGCTCTACTCACATTATCCTGTCTTCGATCCAGGGCGCCAAGCAGAGGCGCAGGTCGAGCAGACCCTTCTCTTCGTAGAAGGCCGCCATTCGCTGCTCGCAGTCGGAATGACTGGATACGCGCTTCCACAGGCTCATGCTCTTGCTCTACCCAATGGATATGATGATGGTTTTGTGATTTGTATGCTTAGCTGTGATAGCTGAATGGATATGGTGATCAGTGCAACGTTTAGGATTTGGTTACTGGCTCGGATTCAGTTTCTCTTGTGGAACTTTTTGACGAGGCTCTTGGCCCGATCAAGGTCCGGCTGGCTTCGACAGGCAATTGAGTCGGAGTTGTCCATAAAATGCATTCGCATACATGCGAACGAGATGAGTTTTTCTTATTTGGTTTGGATTTTAGTGTGGTTAGAAGGAAACTATAAATACACAAGCATATGTACATGAGGGTAAGTGCGAGGTTTTGGACAAATAACGACTCCTAATATTGGATTAAAATGTGATGTGATGACGTTATGGTTTTAAGGGATCCGAAGTAATATGTACACCCCAATCATATTTCAACAATTTTTTCGTTGCAGCTTTAAGTCATCTACCATAATGACAGCCAATTGTTGACTTATCTATCAAGGTTTGGGGTCCCCCTTGGTCAAATAACAAAATGCACACAAACAGAATGATTTTAGTGTCACAACGAAAGGTAAAGTAATAGCTATTCAGTAAGACATCATTGTTACGCCTTCAAGAACTATATCACATCATATGTATGTGTGACTGTTTACACTAAGACCTTTTTTACATTATTCAAAACTAAAAGTTTTCAAGATATGCACACATTATATGATACTTTAAAGATTTGTATGCATAATATAGCTTTATAACTATGTTTAATTGGTTTACTTTGTATTGAGTAGTTTCATTAAAATATTCAGCTGGTCAAAGAAATGTGTTCAATTTAGGTAATAGAATTATAATTAGCTAGGAGTATTAGAGGAGGAAGCAGATCCCCCAGCCATATCGTGAGGTCATAGAACATCGCTTTATGAGCAAGGTAAAGAGCTGAATGAATGCGACCAGGCCGGCTTTAGCCTTTAATTACCATAACAAAAAATTATTGCAAATGGCAAACACAGCGAGAAAAACCAGCTCGCACGCAAGTGAGAAAATAAACAAAACGAAGCACAACAACGCGTGAGGTGAATTCGAGACGCTCCGAACAACAGGTGTGAAAATTAATTGCACCGCCGGGCGAGTCCGATCCGTGGGGAATATGACTCTTTATGGCCATGCTAAATAGTGCTGATAAGGCAGCCTGAGCCTGGTGGCCACAGGCCAAGCCCTTCTCCTGCTTCTTTTTTGTCCCTGTCCGCACCAACGGCGACAGTTTCTTGTCGTCGAAACGTGACCGTAAATGAGTGGTAGCCCAGACGCAGGTCCAGACTCAAGAACCAAACCCAAAACCTGAACCGAAGCGTGTTTGCTTTTGTGGTCGATACGCTAATTTCTGTAGTTACCCGGAAAAAAGGCCAGCGCGACGCTCACGTAGCAAATATGAATGGCAGAAGAAAACGAAGAAGTTGAAAGAGTGGTGTAAACAAGGCAAACCAGTCCATTTCCAGTCCAGGCAACGAAATTAGATAAGGATCTAATGACCGAAACAGGCCCGAAAATGCAGCCCAAGCAAAGGGATCAGCCCAAAGGAGAGGTGGATGATCAAAACAGGTCGCGATACCTGCCCCAGGAACCGAATTCGGATGTGCGGCTCACTAGGTATGAGAGTCAGGGAGTCAGCTTAGGTAGATTGAACCAATGTGGTGATTGTGTGGAAAGGTATACTCGAAACTCAAAGGCAGGTTTCTTTCTATTCATAAGTTACTGCTGCTGCTGATTTTGCTGCTCTTTCTGCCCTTCGACGCTTTTTAGTCCAAAGCAAAGTAGTTCAAGGTTCTGGATTGGTTGTCTCTAATGTGCCAAGTCAGTTGGACGCAACTCAGTCAAGTCGGCAAAAGTTTTTGTTTTCTCTTATTAGGAGCTCCGAAGTACTTTTCCGCTTGTTATCAACTTGGAAAATGCAAAACAGCTGTATTTAGGGTGAGTCACCCACTCCGAAAAAATGATCTATGGAAAACCTTTAGGCAGAACAAAAGGAAAACTTCGGTCACCCGGATGTTTTTATTTCGCGGATCGATTGACCAGCTTTATAGAGAATTCTCCCTGATCCCACTTGGGATATCTGAGAGCAGCAGAGGCTGTCAGGTGGCTGCTAAGCATTTGACAGACTGTTTACAAACAATCAGTAAGCGATACCCAGTCGTGGTTATTTATATGTCACATCGGGGGATCACTTTCCCAGCAAAACAAACAACAAATCACAGAAAAACTAACAAATAAAAGTGATATTTAAATATGATGAGATTTGAGCAGGTCTTTACCGATCGATCGAAGAAACTAAACTGAAGTCTTCCCTAATTTAACTTCCTACTTTTATACCTCAAACTTTTCAATTGATAAGGCCGAAACAAGATTGACAATGTCGAAATAGGGAACCATTAAGAATGATATGAAAATTAAGCCGAAGTAGTGAGAATAATCAGTGTTTGCTGGAAATTTGCCTTATTCCATATATTACCATGCTCTGATAACGCGATGGCCAAAAGGCATCGATGAATCAATTGCCGTGAAAGATTGCGTATGGATTAGGTGGAAAACTTGTCGAGCAATCGAACAAGTCACTTATCAGGTCAATTTGCCAACTTTAAATAGCCCTCTACTGCTTCGAGGAAAAGCGACTGGAGTCCTCGTTTATTAGGAACTGCAAAACTAGTAACCGAATGGCAAAAATTTGTATGCCAATAAACATATTATTATGATATTCGGCTAATGGAATTATTATGTTAATTTACGCACAGAGCCTCTGCGAGCGGCACAATTTGGTAGAGCTGGCGTATATTATCAACGTAAATAACCAACCGAAGGCCATAATTAAAGTCGGAAATGCATGGATGGATGCCTGGGTGGCAAACGCCCTCCTCGGGGCTGAGGAAATCCCATCGCAGTAGTTTTTGGGGAGTGGCATCATAGGGAACCAGGGTCAGATGGACGGTAGGTTTGTACGACTGCCTTATCGACGTCATTCCTCATTCAAAACCTACATATTTCATTCCAAATATTTCCTTATTTATGATAAAGCCCAAAGTTTATCTTGGCTTTGTGGTGCTGCGCCAACGAAATGCACAGTTGGATTCGCACATTCCGCACGAGTAACTATGCACAACTATGCAAAAAAAAGGCAAAAAAATCTAAGGAACTAACGCAGACGCGATAAAAAAAGATTTCTGAGAATTTTTCAGTTTTGATAAAGACTTATTTTTGAATGTTTTCACTGGTTTTTTAACATTAGCGATAAAGACTTCAAACTTCAGACATCCAAAATCCTAATTCTTTACCGATCTTGCATAAATTCACGGACTTAGAATGGTGATGTTGTGATGTCTTAATTTTTTTATAAATTTGAATCGGAATTACATATGTTCATGTAAATTTCAATAGGTTCAACAGTTCGTGTACAAATACATCACTGCAGCCTTTATTCTCGGAACTAGTCAGTAAGTATAGGTGCACAAGAGAAACTAAATAATTTCGAACATCGAAATATAATGAAACTTTATAGAAAATCATCTTTTATTGCGTGTTTTTGCTTTGCTTTAGAGCTACAACATCAGTCGGCATTCAGTTCACCGCAAAAGCCGCGATAACCGGTAGTTACCTGGCGACCCTACCGCTCCCCCGCACAGCCGACATTAGCGATTTATAGCGCCATATAGAATGTGTGTTAGTCGGAGGGGCAGAGGTGGAGTGGGAAATATATTTACTTAGTTGCAGCCGCACACGTTAGTCGGCGTTATTTGTACGCGGCTGGTTGTAAATGTTCACACATGTCCACGGGGGCTTCTGGGCCAAATGACGAGGTGAAAGAGAGCTCCGCAGCTGGCCGGCTTCAGGGGGTTAAAAACGTGTATACCACAACGGACCTCAAAAGCGCGTCACACACGCAAACAGAGGTATATTCAAACCACAACCACAACAAATGTGTAACGAAGCTTTTTTCATTTTTTAAGTGTATGTATAAATTCATTTCGATCTCTCGACGGCGAAAATGTTTTCAGTTGCAAAACTTGAATTTGCATTGACGTCTATCTTTTCAGCGAGCGTTCCGAGAATCGCCGTTTATCCAATGCATATACTATATTCCCAAAAACCAAAGCTAATCACACGTCGTTTTCTTTGCCCGAAAACAGGGCAGTTGTTATGCACCTTATGAAGTACTTAATCATTTAATATTCAAGTCCTAGCTTCTCAGTATTGATCAAAATTAATTTATAATTTCATTTAATCAGTAACGGTTCACGGATGTCAATTTTATTAGACTATGTCTAATCTTCCAGTGTCTCCAGCGACCTTGGGGCCTTGAATTTTGCACAATGAAAAACCTGTGCATGCAAAGAAAGTGGTTTGGCAGTTGCAGCGAAAACCGAACTGGTTGGGCGACTTTTTTATTCCGTTTGAGGGGTATGTAAAGCAGCGGATCCAAGAAAAATATAAGTCAATTCAGCGTTCGCCGGGGGAAAACCCGCAGCTCATAGTTATCTGCATTTACAATTGGGTGCCAATTGTTATGGCATACATACATTCTTGACCAACGGATTGTTTGTTAGTATGTATCCGTACGAGTATCTGTATCTCAACAATCACTCGCCGAGACCAGCTGCCCACACAAAAATGGTATTTTTGCTGTTGTTCGGCTGACAGCGGCAAACACAAAACCGAATCGCAAACAAACAGAGAAATACAGCGAAAGATAGAGAGAAAGAGGAAGAATAACAAAAAAAGCCCGATTGCACTTTTAGCCGTGTGATTAATGCTGAGCTAGAAAAGCCAAATAGGCGCACATTTTAGATAAGCATTTTGCTATGACTCATCGGCACTGAAAATTAAGCAAACGTTACTCCATTTTGTTTATCTTTGTACATATATGTATATCTGCGCTGCGAAATCTCTGGGGTAAACAATCTGCAGATACAGATTGAGAATAATCCCCAAAAGTAGTATGCACACACATTTTGGCGTATTGCCACAGCGAAAATTCTGGAAAACGTCTTATCTGCAAGTGGGCGTATAAACAAGATATGGGCCAGATAGAAAAGATCCCCATTTTCTTGCGAACTGAAAAGCTTTTAGAAATCCAAAAGCCGCTAACGGAAAGTTTTATGGCAGCAGCCCAGGCTGCTGATAACTTAGCTTGAAAGTACGTATCATAAAACGATAGACAACTAGAAGGCGCAGTGATACCTCGGTATAAAGAAACTCACCATCTATAAGTGGCTTGCATTTATTCATTTGATTATTATAATATTTAAATGGGAGGCCGGTTTTGAAAAACTATGGAGCACCACTTTAAACTTATAACTAAAATCTTTATAGACAATAAACTTTTACATTTTGAGTACATAAATATGGTATACGCAAATTAAGTTGATATATCAAATCTAATATTTATTTTTTAAAATATGCGTTCTCAAAGCGACAATCCAGCCTTTCTTTTTAACGGTTAAAAGCTGTTAAATGTTGGGCTGTATTACCAAATATGTTGTGTTTCAGGCCAGTACATTTTCCTCAGCCCTTGGTGCCTTCTAAATCCTGACCATTCCAAAACCCTTCGTTTTGAATCCCCAAGAGCGAGGGTTGTACCTTCTTTGTTTCTGGCTGTTCTTTTCGCTTTTTGATTTCTGCTGCTTCGACATTTGTGCCAGCCAGCCGAACATTTTGTATTTTTCTTATTCAATTTTTTATAAACAACGCACACACACTCGATTTCTGTGTGACGAGTGCCGTTTGTGATATTTGTTTTTGCACTCATAAAAGTTTAATAAGCATGCCTTTTGGCCTGTGGATGTGTGGGTGTAACTCGTACAATGACAATGAAAGCCACAATCCCCCACCGTCGTTGCACCACCCCAACCTCCCCCTCAAGCTGCCTTCTTTACCCCGCCAAGTGTTATTTAAGTAATCATTTATCGTTGTTGCTCGCCTGACATTTTGCACGATGTTTGTCGGCTTTCGTTTCCCGTACTGAGACGCCGGGTCGTTTTGAGTATATTGGACTAGTGGCCAGCCCGCATCAACGTATGGTTTCTCCACAAATTCAGATTAACGCTCAATGACATATTTGTCGAAATTTTTTGAGCTCATCACCTATTTATGAGGCTGCTAATATAAATTATTATATGACCAATGACTTCAAATATTAATGTTTTAAGTGTAAAGCATATTTGTTGAAAAATAATTAAAGCCTAAAAAATATTTGTCAGCAAAAGCCAAGACGTTGAATATTTTGATGCTGACACTTTGGGTTTTTTTTTGATTTAAAATCCGTATTTTAAATAGGTCTGAAATCAGACAGGTTATCGTGCAATTTTTATTGCTTAACATTGGAATTTCTGCGAAATATCATTTAATGGGTTTTCTTATCAGGTGATTAAAACCGAGGTTGAGCCAAAATATAATAAGTAACAATTAAATATTAAAAATGTAACTATCAGCATGGTAATTTCCCATGAACTGTTTTTTTAATTTAATTTAATTTTATTAGATTTATTATTTTTTGGTGAAATTTACTTTGTATTGTATTTAGTATACGATTATTTAAAATTAAAAAGAAGTCTAATCACAATTTGACACTTTAGTAAGACACCACAAACACTGGGAATCTAATGATTTTCAAGTGCTATATTTTCGCTTCGTTTTTTATCGCCAGAGCCAGGGGCCAGTTATTAATACAGAAGCATAAAGCGATCGATAAGCGGCCGCAATAAGTGTAAGTACAGTAGGCACCCAAGCTAAGGAGACGAATAGAAGTCTGCTCCACTTACGTCTGCTGCACCATCGATTAAATGCAACGCAATAAGCGACTTTGATAACGAGGTGTCGTTGTTTCAATGTAAATAGAGGGAGTCGCCGATCAGGAACAGAGCTTCATTTGCGGTTGAGGATAATAATTCGCATAAATACGTATTAATTGGCAATGCCCATATCTAAGGTCCAAAAATAAGGATTAGTGCCGATAATTTATTCTGCATATTTTCACATCTCTCATATGAACATGGGGAATTGAAACTCGAATACCCTAGGAATCAAACTGATCAGCTAGAGAAAAATTAAATGACATAATTTTCACTACTCTAAAAGCCACTTTTTTTTTTACTTTTTTGTAAAAACACCTTAAAGCATGCAATATATATCAAATTGTAGATGCAATTTTCTATCAAATGGTAGATATTATTGAATACTTATATTTATTTTAATAGAAAAAGCATATTTGGAGCACTCCGATTTTGATAAAGAAAGTTAGAGTGGTATTCTCCATGTCAGAAACGAAAATCTTTTGCCAACTACCATAAATTCCCTGTCCATTTAGCTATCGATTAGACGCCAAACTATGACCAATATTAATCTACTATGTCCGCAACTATTAGGTTTATCAAAAGTTAACCGACAAGGGGTTAACGTTGGCGTCGCTGACAGTCGTAATTTGTCCGAAGTGGTAAGAGCCAGCCGGGTTATAGCCAGGCCAAGAAGTCGGGGTGTAAAGAGAGAGAGGGGGCAAGGAACGACCGACGACAACGAACAAGATAAAAGTGTTGAGCGCGCAGAAGTCGGCGACGTATGAAAGCAAGAGTAGCATGTGAATATGAGAATGATAGGGCCCCGAACGCCTGGTACAGACAAAAAAAAAATCATTTTAAGTTTATCATTTTTATATGGGGACTATTCAAACATAATTAAAATTAGTCAATTGGAATTATTGATAATACATATATTTCATTGAACAGCTTTGGGACTTTCGTTACGAAAGGTAACTGCGCAGGGCTCTAGCCTTTGGGGTCATCTTATGTGTTTTTTTTGATAAGAAAGGTGTAATATAAATACATATACTAATACATTTTTCTCGTGAAAAATAGTCGTGTATACTTCAGAAAAGAACTGACTCCGATCATTTTCTGAAGACAATTTTTTAAAATTTGACCTTTGCATTTCGATTTGATAACGAGCTCCTTTTTTTCCCTGTGCAGGAGTGCGAGTGGGATGGGTAGATAGGGAACAGCTAATATACTCGATAGCGGTGTTGTTGTTGCTGCCATTTGTGCTATTGCACTCGAAATTCTTGTTGCCTTTGTTTTTATGGGCTTTCCAGGAAACAACAATGAACGAGAAAGAAGAAGCAAAATAAGAAACAGGAGCGCGTTGCACACACATGTGTGAATGCGACTGTGTTTGTGTATTAATAACGCCTCAAGTGGAAACACATGATGATGGTGCATTGGTTTCGTGCTTAAATTGCAAAGAACCTTCGCGAAGGTCTAACGACCACCCACCCACAAATGCAGCCGAGTCCTCCCACCCACACATGCAAAACCCCCTTTTTGCTCTTTTCTTCCTATTTTCTATTTACCTTGGTCACACAAACACCAGCACACAACACTGTGTAATCACACACGGCTGGCTGGTATCGGGTTGTTTGTATTAGTACGCCTGCCGCTGTTGCTCTTCAATATTTGTTCGTTTTTTTTGTTATGTATTTGCCGTTTTATTTTTAAATCGCGTTCGCTTCACGCACACACACAGTGCGAGAGAGACGGGGCACACCCGCACACACACTCAGAATCATAAACGTCGGTGTCCTGGCAAAAACAAAATTCATCTAGAGGACGACTCTTCGGAAGCAAAGTGCCCTTGTAAAGGAATTCAACTAGTTGCGCACTTGAAAATTGCTCCGGTTTTTAGCAATTCCTTTTGAAAATGGTTAAGATTGTAGCATTATTAAAAACTGATTAGCTAGTGTTCCTCTGTTTCTTCACGCGCGGCAGGCCCTGAACTGTGCTTTTTACACTTTTCCGCAGACAGAACCGTTTACTTCAAACTCTGAATAGTAAATTAATAATAACGAATAGGTTGGGGTAGAGGTGGAAAAACATCGATGTTAACATAAGTGTAATCGATGTTTTCAAATCATCGGCCTGTTTGGCAGGGCATTATCGATGATCTTCCATCTCTAACGAGTGTTGAACCATTTCTTGCGAACTGTTAACGATTTCCGTTAACCCTATGCAAAATTGAGTGTAATAAGAGGTTGGGAATCAGCATTTGTTTGCGAATATAGATGATTTTCGTGGTGTGGACTATTTGCGTCAACCGTTAAAATTAAAAAAAAACTATTGTTGGTAATGATCAGTTCCGTACTTTTTAAGTATTCAACGACACAAAAATACCAGAAATCTTAGCAGGTATGAGAAATATAATAGCTGGGACTCAAACCTTAGCACTGCCAATTTAACAGCAATAGAAGTTAATAATGCAAAAAAATAAACAATTTATTAAGCTAATGGCAATAAACAAATATTTAACAAATGGGGGAAATACACGTGATTTGTTTATATTGCTGTGGCGCCGCTGCTGAAAGTGCGCAGGTCGTTTGCACACACACACATGCAACCTAGTGGCGGTGTAATTAATTGCATTCAATTGATTTGTCCACCAAAAGTCAAGGTTAATCAAAACACAATTAGTTTCATTTCTTTTGTCAACTTTTGTGTATTCCGTACATAAACAGAAGTTCCTTTAATTTCACCTGTTGTGCGCAGCAACAGGCGAACATGCCGCCCACTTCTGCGCGAGGGGTGGAATTCGGAGAGGGGACTTTAAGGATGGGCCCCGTCAAATCAATAGGCTTTAAATAATTTATTTTCTCCACTTTCGGCCTATCACTCACCTATTAGTTTGCCTTTTTGGTTATGGTCTTTTCACGAATTGCAGGTGGCAAGGGAAAAGCCCTTTTTTAGCTAACGAAAACACCGCCTGCAGCACGCGGCTGATTAGCACTCCAATGCCAATGCAACTAGACTTTAATATCACTTTTTAAACACAATTAAAAGTTGTTTTCGTTTTTGCGTACTTGAAATTTTGCGAACGCGACTGGCGAATAGAGATTTCGATAGACCGCACCCCCGCAACAAATGTTATCGATTAGTCCGTGGTGTTGCCACCCCCCACAAAAGTTTGCGCGCGTTTTCAAAACCATGAAGTAAACCCATTGATTAAACAAGTTTGTAAATTTTAATAATAAAAAACACACTAACATACAAGAATTACATAGTATATGCATAAGATGATTTCGCTGGCGAACACCCTTAAATTCATGGCAATTTTTACAATAGCAGCTTATTGACATCGAGGTGGAAATACACAATATACAAAATGTTCAAAGTAAATCATTAGTCTAGGAGTAAACGAGTGGCGTGTAAGATTAAGTTATTGTCCAAGCAACACCATTGAATACGAGCTGGACCCTAGAGCAAGGGCCTCGGGAGGCGAGTCATTATTCAGACGGTTTATTGGCTGATATACTTTCGGCTTACGGCGATAATAAATCAATTACGGTTAATAACAAAGTTAAGCGCATTCGGATGTGATCTCTTTATCGCTTATTTCTCACAACTAACAGCTAAAAATATCTAACAATTAGAGCATGTCGGTGCTGCACTTCTATCTCCTCAACTTATCCATCGATCACGAGACTTAAGAACAAAGCAGTGCGTTTTTGGTGTGGTGTTTATGGGTGACGGTGGCCAGGGGCTACTTTTCGGGCCCCCCTCGCTTCAGGTGGCTCAGCTCTGTGAGCCACGCCTTGATCATATCGTAGGTGGAGAAGCTGATGCCCACGGCAATGGGGCCCTTTATCCAGTTCATGCTAAGACCCTTGTAGAAGCCGTTCTTGATGCCCTCCTCGCTGTAATATGATTAAGAAACCATTAAGAACAAGTTTAGTCTTGTAATTGCAAATATGTTTACGAACCGGTAGATCTTCGCGAGCGTCTCCAGGATGGTTGGATAGCGATCTCCGCTGGCCGTGTTCACCCGCATCGTCTGCATTCTTCGCCGCACAATGTCCAATGGATAACTGGCCGTTTGTCCAGCGGCACCTGCCGCAGCCCCGAAAGCCAGCGAGACCAGAGTATTGTGTTTGTTGCTGCCAACCATTTCTGCAAACAAAAAAATTAGTAAATAAATTCATAATCTCACATAACACTTTACAATTATCTTTGGTTGTATTCTTTGGAATATTTCTAATAGTTAAATAAAGAAGATGCATTTTGCTTGCTCAACTGGTTTTAGACTTTTGAGGACATTTGTCCAGTGAAAACGGTGGTAATAATTTTTACTAACTAAAAAATGATCTATCCTACAAAGTCGGCTAAAGAAAACTGTCCCTTAAAAGAGAAAATCTACGCTATGAGGGACACATCTCAAGTTACAAAACGGTACATAAATTTCTCTCAAGAAAAAGTTTCTCACCATAGTACTCCCGCTTAAGGGTCTCGTAGGTGAAAAAGGAAGTGCCCGCATAGGGAATCACACCGAGAACCGTCGCCCAGTAGCCACGGAACAGTGTCCGCGGACCCTCCTCCACCCAGATCTTGGTGAAGACCTGTCGCAGGGTGCGATAGCCTGTATATCGATCTGTGACTGCCATGCGGGCGCGGGCCAGGTCCAGGGGATACGTTAGCGACTGGGAGGTGATTCCTGCCAGGGAACCAGCCAAAAACCGACGCCCCTTGGTGCTATAAGAAAATTAATTTAGTAAGTACATTGATCAATGGCAGAGAGATGTAAAACTCACTTGGAGCCGTCCTTGTCCACATGCAGGATGCGTCGCCACTGCTCGTGGGCCGTGAACTGTATGGCTGCGTAGGGCACTATCCTGGCCATCGTGGCCGAGTTCCCCCGCCACAGGGCCAAAACGCCCTCGTTGGCATAGGTGTTTTGCAGGTAGCGCAACGAGGCGCGGAACGAGAAAGGAATATCGTTGCGGATCTGGAAGTTGATCTTGGTGCGGTCCAGCGGGGCGATGACCGTCTTGGCCAGCGCCCCCGCCGCCGCTCCGGATATCAGGCTGATAACCACCTGGTCGATTTTTTGACGCACTGAAAGAACACAAGAAGAGATTTTAAAACAAGATGTTACCAATTAAAAACCAATTATAATTCAATTTAAAATATTAGCAAATTCTTAAGTAGGGTCATTTTTTTTTAATTGCTTAAATCACAGCTAGGTATTGTCATCATTCCATACCAGTTGCGTCTATTTCATAGACCAATAAAGGGAGAGACATCAATCAAACAAATAAAATATCATATATAACATTGATTCATTTGTTCTTTCAACTGGTTAAGCCTGCATTAAGGCTTTTAAGAATTTATATTACTTTACAATCCACAATTGACCATATTTTGTACTAATAACACACAAAATTTTTATTGAAGTCTAAATTATTTTCAGTGCTATCCTATTTCAGGCTAACATTGATATTAAACTGCCTACTATGCCAAGAAAAAAATTGTTTTTTTTTTAATATTTTGCCAATAAAACTAGTTTAACTCAAAGAGACTGCAATGCATTTAATTTAATTTAAAACTCTGTAAATAAATTTTTCATTAATTTTCATAATGACTGTGAAAAATTCTGAATTCGACATTTTTATTAGCCTATTGATTTTTTTTTTTGCTACTTTAACGTTAAATAGCCCAAAAATAAATGTTTAATGTTTCAAAATGTTCAAAGAGAGATGGCATAAATGGATTTACTTACTGGGTGTTGCGCTGGGATTGACTGTGATGGCGGGTGTGGTGGCTACTTTAACGGCCGCTACCGCTGATATTTCGGATGGGGCCAGCTGGGTGCGGGATGTGTCCGCATCCTCCACGTCCGAGGGCAACGTCGTCGCGGACGTGGCCACCGTGCTCGAGAGCTGACTTCCCGTTGACTTGATGGACATGGCGATGTTGGGCTTCTCCAGGAGACGGCTCATGGCAGACTCTGGCTAGGGACCTGAAATTAATTTTAATATCAATCCGAGCCGAGTAAATTACCCCAGCAAAGCGTGGGCTTATCGCGACCGCTGATAAGACCTCAATATGGCCAAAAACTAATCTAAACTATCCGAATGTTGCTTTGCTTTTATAAGACTTCCCAGCAGAGACATCATAATCATACGTATGTGGGCGAAAATGAACAGCTGCGGTCAAAATAATAATATATAAAAAAGGATAACTCATTGACTAGTTAAAATTTAATTATAATTTTAATTGTCAATGGACATAAAAATACAAAACTGGCAATAATTTACATCAAGAAATAATTACCAGAAATTGTTTAGTGATTTATTTAAAAGTCTCTGTAAAATATCGTTGACTACAAACTTTGAATTATGTAATTTTATTTAACACCTAGCACTTAGAATTTTCAATTAGCAGTAAACCAAATTATTTATCTCTGAATTTTTGATTACTAAAAGTCAGCAAATAACTGTCTTAGCCATTGTAAATTATAAGCACTTGTGTTACTTTGCACCCATGAGACTTATAAACAATAAACAATAGTTTGGTTGCAATTCACTGAAAAGTTGTGCAGCTTGTTATCAAATCAACTACAAACCACAAGTTTGGAATTCGTAGAAAGTGATTCGGGTAATCATTGATTAACAATTACAGTAAACAACAAGAAAAACAAGCCAGTGAAACCCAGAATATTCGCAAATTATATTCTCAAAATTATTCATATGATGCATTCTTAATACTCAAAAAACCCAACTTCCAACTTAAAAACACCAAAGTAGGCATTTCCAATCGTTCAGTTATGTATAGGCAGCTATAGAATATAGTCGGCCGATCCTAGAAATATATGTCGGATTGATTGGGCAAAAATAAAACCCATAGAAAATACCAACTTCCTAACTTAACAAACACCAAAGTATGGCATTCCGATCAATCAGTTATATAGCAGCTAAGGATATAGTCGGCCGATCCTAGAAATTGGTACGTCGGATTGATTGGCCAAATATAATACCCATAGAGAGTCCCAACTTCCTAACTTAACAAACACAGAGTTATGGCATTTCCGATCAATCAGTTATATGGCAGCTATAGGATAAGTCGGCCGATCCCGGCCGTTCCGACTATATACTGCGGCAAAGGAAAGAAGGGTGTGGAAAGTTTCAATTCGATATCTTTAAAACGAGAGACTAGTTCGCGTAGAAACAGACAACGGACAGACAACGGACAGACGGACAGACGGACATGCTATATCAACTCAGGAGGTGATCCTGATCAAGAATATATATACTTTATAGGGTCGGAGATGTCTCCTTCACTGCGTTGCACACTTTGACCAAAATTATAATACCCTCTGCAAGGGTATAAAAAAAAACCCATAAAAATCCCAACTTCCTAACTTACAAACACCAAAGTTATGGCATTTCCGATCAATCAGTTATATGGCAGCTATAGGATATAGTCGGCCGATCCTTATAAAATTTGGTACGTCAAATTGATTGGCCAAATACAAAACACATAGAAAATCCCAACTTCCAACTTTACAAACACCAAAGTTGTGGCATTTCCGATCGTTCAGTTATATGGCAGCTATAGGATATAGTCGGCCGATCCTATAAAATTGGTACGTCAAATTGATTGGCCAAATAAAACCCATAGAAAAACCAACTTCCAACTTTAAAAACACCAAAGTTATGGCATTTCCGATCGTTCAGTTATATGGCAGCTATAGGATATAGTCGGCCGATCCCGGCCGTTCCGACTTATATACTGCGTGCAAAGGAAAGAAGGGTGTGTGCAAAGTTTCAATTCGATATCTTTAAAACTGAGAGACTAGTTCGCGTAGAAACAGACAGACGGACAGACGGACGGACGGACAGACGGACAGACGGACAGACGGACATGCTTATATCAACTCAGGAGGTGATCCTGATCAAGAATATATATACTTTATATGGTCGGAGATGTCTCCTTCACTGCGTTGCACACTTTTGACCAAAATTATAATACCCTCTGCAAGGGTATAAAAACACTTTACTGATATTAAAAGTGTAAAGTATATATTTTCAGTGCTCCTTTTTTTAGTGCAGTTGTTTTTATGGACCTCAGTAAATAATATGTCTGGTTGTTAATGGCAAAAAACATTTCACAAGTCCATGCAAATTTTCAGCTCTCACAATTGTTTCGTAATTGACAGAAGCATTTCTCCCTTGGCATAGGTTCAAAAATAGGCACTCAAATTGCTTTTAAGAACCAATAATATTTACCAATATCGAGCTATCTCTAGCCCTCTAGAACTTGGCAATTGAACTTTGTTTTGGTCTTCAGTCGAGTCATTCTGCCACTGGAGTGCGAAACTTGGCCAGCGCTTATGAAGTTATCCCTCTGGGTTAATCAGCCGGAATTGATAAGAGTTTGCCCAGCTGCTAATTGCGTCTTTCAATAGATAGAAGGAGGGTTCCAGAAAACATCGATCGACCCGCTTCGTAGATTGTACTCACCAAATGCTAAACGAGCCCGCAAACCGGTTGCCTCGTTTGCTTTTTATAAAAAGCAAACAGCACCGAATTATCAGCAGAATGAGTATATAGGGGCAACCTGTCTATGTGTGGCACACACCTCCAAATCAATTATCATGCCGAATATTAAAAAAGGGAACTCAGGTCGCGAAATGCTTAGGCGTAACAACACGTGCATTTTGCGGGGGGTGTTGGTTCGGGGTGGTGGGTGTTCTGGGGGTTGGGCACTTTTCCAAGTTTAACAGCTGAGCGCGGCTAAAATTAAACGCTTTTCATTGAGCAGCCGGTGCAGAAAACCGTTGAGAGCGAGAGCGTTCATCAACGCAATAGAAAATGAATAGAAAACTGCAGCCTTGAACGTGATTACGTTCATAGACAGATTCTGAATGGTACAGTAGTCATTGGTCAAGGGGCAACTTTTAAAGCGGACCACAACTAAACATTTATCCCAAGAGTTTACTACGGTTATTTTAAAATTGAAAGGTTAATGACACGGCAACCGTTTAAAGCTAAAATTATATTACTTTACAATTTTATTAAGCCAATCTAATTTAATTATATTATTCAATTAAATAATAACCAATAAACTAATCTAAGATTAAGCTTAAATGTTTAAGTAGTATACGAAGCCGCGATTCAGTTGACCAAATAGAGTAATCTATTCAAGTTTATTAAAAAAAAAATTCAATACAGTTAACCCAAAGAGTCAACTATTTATTTTTTGTCTTGTTTTTGTCTTGCAATTAAATTAAGTCGTAAATTATCTTTTCACATTTTTGAGAGTGCACTTTAACTACACTTTTAATTTTAAATTGTCTGAACAAAGGACACATTTCATTTGCCAAGAAGTAATAATTAAAAATTTTGCGTTTTAAAATCATTTTCCTGAACATTAGAAAAGTTCAAAAACAGGTGTGTTATATTTTTTTAGCTTTTACCATTTCCGCATGTCAAAAAAATATCTAAGCATTTTAATTTTCCCTGGTTTAAAGTTTATTGCAGTAATTACTGTACCTACAAATATTACACGCTTTGGTGTGCGGCTTAACTATGATTTGCTGGGTTTGTCGCTAAGCTCTTTGATACCTGCCCCCCATAAACTATTTTTTGATAAGAAATGTGGCCAATGAAAACCACTGTGCACTGGATGCTGTTGTTGCCGGCTCTTAATAAACGTAAACAAGCTCGTTAGGCGGTGTTTGTGCACTTTTTTCTCTGCTTTTGCACTCAGTCAAGGCTGAGGTTTACTACGAATCCAGTTTATCCAGCTAGTGTTTTCCATTTCGGTTCTGGGTTTCAAATTTGTTTGCTATAAATAGATTCTTGTTGGTTGAGGGGGAGGGGGAGGGCAGATAGTAAAGTTCCAACATCATTTCAGATTGGACTTTGAACCCCTTGAAAAACAACTGGATGAATGAAAATGTATGTAAATAATACATATATTTCATTTGCACTTACACCTGTGCATATGTTATTTCCGCACTCATTCGCTTGGAAAATGATTCGACTCGCAATGCTTTTGTTTGTTGTTTACAAAACTGAGTTGGAAGTCTTTTAGGAATACTACGTGACTTAATTCTGATTGGAATTGGCTAGTGGGAGCGTGAAACAGCTGTTGCTGCTCGCTTAGTGTGGTTGCCTTTACTTCTCTTAAATTTGATCCTTGTGATAAATCTCTTTGCAATTTATCAATTATCTCTCTTGTTTACTACCGATTAAACAGTTGCAACATACGAAACACACTCATACACAGGCACCTTATATAATTTGGCAAAACGAGAACAACAAATTATATACATATTTGTATGACTATGTATGTATGTAGGCCTCACACGCACCTTTGTTTTTGTTAGCACAGATTCTTTTTTTCGGCCTCTTTTTCGTTGTTTCGGCCTTGGCAACAATAACAACACCACTGGCGCTCCCGCACTGATTTTCACTTTATAAGACACTGGAATTTTATTCACTGTATCGCGGGTTGGCTTATTTTCTAGTTTCGGCTGTTTCTTATTTCTTTAAAAACATTTTTCGCGCGACTCCGCCTGTCTTGGGAAAGCTCCAAAGAGCAATTGACAAAAACATCGTGGGGGGGCTGCCAGACGGAAGATATCTTCGAAAGGGATGCCACATAGTAAGGAACTTTTGTAGCCAACCCGGCCAGACTGATTTGGGGTTGAGTCCGTACTAAACAGCAAATCAAGTAAGGAACCATTTACGATTGATCCTTACGGTTGCACAGTGGTTCACTTAGTAGGAAAAACACAAATCCCTTCTCGTATACTATGCGGGTGTCGGCACTTTCCTAAAGCTAAAAAACCTTAAAAATTTGTAATATACTGGTTAATCAATAAATAACCATACAAATATGATGCCTAAGATAAGAAGTTTGAAATAGGCTCATACACATATTTTAAATTCGAATATATCGATAACCATCAGGCTCGACGATAGGTGGCGGTGTGGCAACACCCTAACGCAGCCAACTTCACGCGAGACGCAGCGAAAACAAAACCAGAAATAATTGAGGGAATCCAAATAAAAAGCGATTAAAAGAGGACCATGAACGTAGACCTGCGATCCTATTCGCGCCACTGGCTCACGGAGTTCATCGAGCAGTATCAGGAGGAGGAGTGCCTGTGGCAGCCGAAGCACAACGACTACAGCAACCACGCAGCGAGAAACAAGTCCTACGACCGCCTGGTGGAGAAGCTTAAAGAAGTGGAGCCCAATCCGGACAGGGCAATGGTGGTTAGGTGGGTCCTTGCTCAGAAGTTCCTTAATATCCCGTAACACCAATTTACACCCGACAGGAAAATCAACTCCCTACGCTCCGCTTTTCGGAGGGAATTCCGCAAAACGACCAGCAAAAACGACTACGAAACGCGTTTGTGGTACTACGATAAGCTGCTCTTCATCGCCGATCACAAGCCCAAACGCCACGAGCTGGGAACGAAACCCAAACGGGAACTGCAAATAAGCTTCGACGACGAGGAGTCCATGGAGTTCGAGGACGAATCACATCACACAGGCACCCAGTCGCAGCACATGGATTCCATACTGCCCACATCCTCGGACGAAGTGGAGGAGGCGGCGGCCACTGCCAGCAATGTTGTAGTAAGCAGCCAGGGCGCTACCTTGAGCACGATTTCGGTGACGCCCGCGGATTGCGTGGCCCTGGTAAAGAGCGAGGAGCATCAGGCAGCCGAGGCGGCGGCAGCAGCTCAAGCGCACCATCAGCACCAACTAGTGGCCCATGCTGCGGCCCAGACGTCAATAGCGGCAGCGGCGGCTCAGGGTCATGCCGTGAAGGTCCTAGAGATCACCTCCCTGGACTCCAACTCCCAGCGAGAGATACAACAGGTGGGTAACTTCAGTAATCCCAGAAAAATAAAGAAGTTACCTTTGAGCATCCAATTCCCAACAGGCGGTCAATTCACTGGAGCATCACCAGCAGCAGCTCCATTTGCAGCAAGCCAATGGACACAACCAGGGCGTGCCCACCATCCAGATAGGGCGCGATCACTACCAGCCTTTGTTTGGCAATGCCGGCACCACTGCCTATACCACCACTGCAGCTCCGAGCACTTCGCATCGACACGACGATGAGTACGATGCTATTGGCGTGAATGTGGCTAGCAAGCTGCGCTCCATTAATCCCACACAGCGGATCGTGGCCGAGAAGCTGATCAGCGATGTTCTGTTCAATGCCCAGCTGGATAACCTCACCGTGAACTCGGCCCTAACGCAGTAATCTCCCTCGCCCCTAGCATTAGTTTATGTAGTCTCTGTATTTGTCACTCCATTCTGTCTGTGTCCCATTTTACAGTCTGGCCAGCATTTGTTGCCCGGCCAGCAACTGAATGTACCATACCGTTTGTATGTAGTTTTAATTATACTATACAATAAATAGATTGTATGTCTTAAGCTCATTACAGGTGCCATTGTCATTCCGCCGGGGTTCCTCCGCCCGTAAGCTTGTTCCACATGAACTTGCCAAACTAAAGAAGAGAAACTGCTGTCTTGAAAGGATCACATAAGGATTGAGATTAACGTACCGTCACCGGCGGCATGTCGATCTGTTCCGCCTCTGTGACCAGTTTCCGGTTGTTCTGCATGTAACTCCAGCCTAGATGGATCCCCACCAGACTGGGGATCATCACGATGGCCACCAGGTTGCGCGACACAAAAGAGGGCTGCTTGGACATCTCTATAAAGTGCGTAAAACGAAATTATTATTATTTAACAGGCTATCAAAAACAATATGGATGATGTGACCGAATTGGGAAAAGCGCTTAATCTTGTGTACTGAAAATACTACATTTAAAATGGGGCGCCAAACCGCCCCCTTCGTTTGAATTAAGTTTTTATCTCTACGAGCTTAGTTCAAAGTCCAAATCTTTGGGAGACAATAATGGGAAACTGAAGGGCTTTTAATTCTTTGTCTGGGACTTACAGATTCGTCTTGTTTGAGCGGATAAGCATCTGTCATTAGCTCGTTGCGGTTGCTGGCTTTGATAACAAATGTGGTGGAGGTGGTTAGAATAGATCAATGACATGACAATGTGGGGTATGGTAGTTTAATGGAGTATATTAGTTAAGCTAAATTTAAAAAATATTTATTCTGGTTGAGTAAGTAAAAAATAAAAATATAACATGAAAATAATTAATTTACACTTGAAAGATTAGGGTGCAAAATTAAAATTAAAAACTATAAGTGAATAACTAAAAATATAAATTATTTTTGAGCGGATCTGGTCACACTAACCCCCTCCCTCTATGTCTAACAACATAACTGTGAATTGCCGGCCCACTGTGTCTCCAATCCAACTTGTATTTTTCCTATATTCCCAACCCATTAAGTGCGAAATCCACACCCGGATCGGAAGGGGGCGGGGGATTACTTTGGGGCTAAACTGGAGGCTAAGACTCGGATGCGGTCTATGCACTTTGCGCACACAACAACACTACAAAGGCAAACAATCTGTTATTGACGCCGACGTTGACGTCGACGTCGCCGTCGCATTGTTGTTATTTCTGTTTTGGACATCACCTGCAATTTCGAATTTAGTTTTAGTTTTAGTTTTGGGTTCTTGGCGAACGGACGCGCCTCAAAATATTATATATTTTTGGTTGAACTGTGCGAGTGAGTTTTCCCTCCCATTGTTTTGCCACCTGCCTTCAATCCTCATCCTCTCCTCCTTTTGGCAGTGCTAAAATCAATATTGGCCGTGGCCCGTTTGCACCTGGAAGAGCTGTTTTCCAGGTAAGCCAATTCGCGAGTGACCTTGTCCTCATCCTCACCCTCCTAGTCGAGTCTTGTCCTGCTGCGATACTTCTCTGCCTGCTGGAACACACACAGAAACGACAGCCAACCGGCCAAGTTAAGGATCAGGGCCAAAATCAGGCCATAGAAGGCCACGATTATTACCTTCTGTCGCCGCGTTCGCTGGCGCCAGGGGATGTGACGACTGCCGAACTGTGGGGATCTAAGAATCAGAGGATCAGCGTCCAGAAAATTGCTTACCGGCATCCCGCTGAAACAGGATTGGGGTTTTTGGTTAACAACAAAGACGATGTCTACTGATTTCAATCATTTTATTGTATCCCTGCGGAGGGTATTTACAATAATGGTCAGATGTTGAGATAGTATTCATATATTATAATTAATGATCAGCATTGCTAGACACGTTGATATACATATGTAGACATTAGAGACCTGCCATAGTTAATCAAAAGTTTGAACTTCAGAACTCACAGGATTATTGACCCGTATACTCATCTTTTACGACGACGTAAATTTAAATAAAAAAACAATCGTTGTGAAAAACAGGCAAGGATTTTTAAAAATGTAGACATATTATTTTCCTAAATACTATGTTTAAATTTTTTACTAAGAAATCATTTTTCTATATTGTTTTGCTTATTTATAGCTTGTACTCTAGCTGAGTACAAATCAGTATCTTTCAAAACACTGCTAAATTCAACATTAGGGAGGGTTCGATGTTTACGACACAGAACTGATTGTGCGGAAAGTAATCTTTGGCCTTTTCCACTAGTCTTCTGACCCGACATACTATTCAAAAGTCTTAACACATTTCTAGCAAAGCAAATTATTTTGAAATATTGCTAATGATTTTCTCATTAACTTCTGATCTTTTAGAAATTCATATTCAACCCGAAGCTTTGAATGTGCTTTGCAGAATATTTATATATTTGGCATATATTTTTGAATATGAATATTTTCGGTACACTTTTTTTGTATTTAATCATTTTTATCTTAATCTAAAGATCTTTTTTAATTGTAAATGCTTATTTTTTAAAAAAAACATTTGGTCATACAATTCTGAGAGTGAGCTGTGATACATATTTTTATATATTTTTTTTTGACTCCATGCAAAACCTAGTCGGCTTACTGAATAATATTATCCTTCTTCAGCTCGGCCAGCTCTTCCTGCCCATAGCCCAATAGTTCACCCAGCACTTCATCCGTATGCTGTCCCAAAATAGGAGGAGCTGTTCGGGCATCGTTCCGCGCTTCGCTAAAGACCACGGGAGGACCTACTACCTTGACGGATCCATCTTTGGGATGCGACAGGGTTTTGACCAGGCCAATGGCCTGAACGTGTTCGTCCTCGAAAACTTCGGGAATAGAGTTCACAGGTCCCACGGGAAAGGAGGCGCCCTCAAACAGCTTCATCCAGTTGCGGGAGGTGTTCTCAGCTAGCATTGCCTCCAAGATCTTGATCAGCTCATCACGATGCTTGACTCGATCTTTGTTGGCTTGGAACTTCGGATCCCGAGGCAACTCCTCCACTTTCAAGCGGCGACACAGGTCCGAAAACTGCTCATCACTGCCGGTGCCCAGTGTGAGATAGCCATCCTTCGTCTTAAAGCTCTGATAAGGAACTATGCTCGAGTGGGCAGTGCCTAATCTCCCGGCTTCGACTCCTGAATTCAAATAGTTGCTGCCCACGTTGAGCAACAGGGAGCAGCAGGTGGACAGCAGGTCCACTTCGATCTTCTGGCCACGCTGAGTGCGCGTCCTTTGATAGAGAGCTGCCAAAATAGCTCCATGGGCATAGAGCCCGGTGGACATGTCCGTCACGGCCACGCCCACCTTGCTGGGCGGTCCATCCCGCTCGCCGGTGATGTGCATCAGTCCGCCCACGGATGAGGCAATCACATCGTAGCCGGGTCGCTTTGCATACGGTCCCACAGAACCGTAGCCCGTCATAGAACAATAGATGAGCTTGGGATTCACCTTGCGCAACTGCTCGTAGCCCAAACCGTAGCGATCCAAGGTACCGGGCACATAGTTCTCCACCAGCACATCGCTAATCTCGGCCAGCCGATGAAGGAGCCGTGTGCCGCGCTTAATGTCGATGCAGATGCTCCGCTTATTGCGATTGGGGGCCAGAAAATAGGCGGCATCTTTGCTGTTCTCCAGGAAGGGAGGCCCCCATTTCCTGGCCTCGTCGCCAAAGTGCGGACGTTCGACCTTGATGACCTCCGCCCCGAGATCCGCCAGAACCATGGTGCAGTAGGGGCCGGCGATGATGCGCGATAAGTCCAAAATCCGGATACCATGCAGCGGGTGTCGCTCATCCACATCGTTGGCATTGTTATCAGGGCTTTTGTTTTTATTGCCAGCGGCTGCAAAGTTTCTCAAGCTCTGTCGGCAAACTCCGTAATTAACAAATCCCCGACCGAGCCGCAAATTCTGTGACAACATGTTACTTTTTTTTGTTGTTGCTTGTGGGTCAACTAATCTGACGGCTGTGCTTGTGTGGAAAGTTTTGCGGCCCAACTTGATCCGCGTTCACTTTTATCGTCACTAAATGTGGCCCTCCATCCAAAAGCCGCCAGAAGCTCCACGTCTTATCTCTTTTGAGGTTCTCTTAAAGAGCTCAAAGAGTGGGAGCTTTTTAACTATCTTAACTCTGAGATATACAGTACTTTGGACCCCCTAAAATAAACTCTCTTTTTTCACGAATCACCTTGGGGAGTTTCCACCTAGAATAGAATGTCTCGAATCCTTTCGGATTCATGTGGCGATGTGGGGAATCGCCAGTGCTGACCACAAGATAATGTGAGGCTAGTCAACCCAGATGCCATATCATTAAGTACAGATCGAGACAAGCTATTATTGTACTGACTTGTTTTGTTCTGTACTCCGATTATATCACTTTGCTGACATCTTGGATAGCGTGATCTTGGCCTAAACGATCGGGCTGAGAGGCAGCTGAAAGGCATTTAAACTAACTAAGACAGGCATTTTGTTTTTCTTGAAAATTGACCAACTAAGAGCCCAATGTGAGGCAATTATTCCCTAATGACCAGCACAATTATAAAGTAATTTGAATGTCGGGGCTGGATGATAACATACGCCTGAATGCTCACCATAAGTGTCAGACGGATCAGTGATCTGTAAATACTAAGTTTAGTGATCTTAATTGATGGATACAACTGGTTCATCCACGCGCCGGCGATCAATTAATATTTATGCACAGAAAAAGTATATTCACAGATCCTTAGTCTGAAATAAGAATGATAATAAATGAACTGACAAAAACTTAACCCCTAATAACAAATGCTTAATCATAATTAAAGTAGCTACAATAGCAAGATAGTATTTATCCCCTCTTCATTTATTTTGTTCTGTTTGATATACATAATTGTATACAAAATAGTGTTATTATCTTAATTCCCTATCAGTTAAAGTTCATTTGAATTTTTACACCCCATTGCCACGAAATAATTTTCTCTTGTGTATAATTCTAGCTAATTTTAGATTACACATACCAATCTCAATACAACAACTAACCTGTTACCAAGGTTTAAAAATAAGTTCAAGGTTCTAGTTCCTTGGAAGTGTTTTTCAAGCGGTGGCTTTTCCCCCGGAAACCTCGCCTCGTGGAATCAATATTTATTTTCTGAATGACGCTGTAGTTTCTGTGTGCGATTATCTCAGGTTCAGTTGGTCAGCATACATAGCTTTAACTGCCCGATACGATCCAAAGCTGTAGCCATATAGCCCACATATAACCGCCGATGTGGGCAATTAACGATAGAAGTCCTCCCTTTATTCGCGGCGGTAAACAAGGCGATAGCCTGTTAATCACTGGGGATCAAGAGATCAGGCCTTGTAATTGTCGATCTGTGGCATGACGCACTTGCTCGCATTGTGGTCATTTCCTTTCGGCCAAATGGGAATCACAATGATTGTAATGCGGGGAGGGCCTTAAGAGAGCTTGAGAGTGCGAGCTTGGAGCACCTCGAACTTGTGAGAGATCGGAGAGTCGGGCTTTAAATACTCTGCGGCATGTTGGGCCAGCGTTTATTTACTCAGCTCGCCTCGTTCGCGTCGGTTCGGCTCGTGCATCCGTCAGATATATATAGATACAGAAACTGAAAGCGATACCGATTCGGATCCAGATGCAGATGCAGATGAAGATTGAGAAGATACAGATGGACGGTGTTTTTTGAGTGCAACAGTGCAACAAAATGAAAGCCGGCCAAAGGCTGCGCATGCGTCGGCAGCGCCCCAACTTGAGTGTTTCGCGAGTGCATCCCGCAGATAGCCAATAAGTAGTTGCCAATGCAGCCAAGAAAGCCACTCGACTATTAGCCAACTGACCAAAAGGCATCTCTCGCATCTGAGCTGTGTTCGTAGTCGTCGTCGTCAAGCTCTCGGTACCCAAAAAAATTGTGCAAGCCAAAAAGTCGATTGCAGTCGTCAGCTGCGGATTGCCGATTGCGGATTGCACAATCCTGGCAACCTGTTGCTTGGCTGCTGTGCAGTTGTGTTGTTTACGGTGCAGAATTTCGACGTGGGGCGTATCCGTGCGATACGCAGAGAAGAGATCCATTTTCACCCATCAAGTGGAGTGTGTAGAGAAAACCGTCAAAATTGCTGTGCTACTCTGTTCCAGGATCCTGGGGTACATCATGCGCCGCTTCCTGCGCTCGGCCATGATCGTCTTCAGCTGGTTCGTGGTCCCCTACAGCCGCTACACCAACATCAAGGTGCTGCGGCGCAAACTGCCGCCCATCCGGAGCCACCTGCTCGAGATTCCCGCCGTCGACCTGGCCAAGCTGATTCGCACCAGAAAGGTGAGTAAATGGGCAGCACCCTCACTGTAACATATGGACAAAAAGAAAATATGTATTCCCAGCCCAGTTCTCCATGTTCCGAATTGGGTCACTTACGCAAAGAAACCTGGTAAATGGGCTGGCCGAAATCTTGCCAAATCAATGGAAAGATTGTTGCCACAGTAGCTGTTTCTGTTGCCACATTTATTAGATAGTTCGTGTGCAAAGCTGCCCATTACTATTGATTGCAGACATCTCCAACTCCGGAGTCGTAAAAAAAACAGAAACTTTGACGCCAGTTCGCCAGAAAGTAAAAACGTATAAATCTTAAAGACCTAAGTTTTCATTTTTTCACTGTAAAAAACGCGGAGCACTGGCCCCTAACATTTCAATTAGACAAGCAAGCCATTAAGAAGGTCGAGGGGAAAGACTATGGGTAAATACCATTACAAGTGTTTGAAATTGCTATAAACAGAAATGAAGAACCATATCAGGGTGAAGTTCAAAGTCGAAACTATTTAAGACTCTGACGATTTTTGGATTTGGTAACATTAACTAAAATTTCGATGATATTAGATTTTTTTTTAATCATAAACATTGCTATTAAGGGCTTACTGAATTAAAAGCGTAATAAAAGGTTAGTGTTTTTAGGCCTTAATTAGGTTACAATTGCTTCACATTAATGTACATTTTAGGCATAACCAGAAATAACGAAACTTTTTGGGGTTAATAAGCATAGTTCAAAGTTCACAACATTTACAATTTATCAGCCAAAAGATGACGAAAAAAAAAACCAACTTTGAAGATTTGGTTATTAATTGAGGTAGAATATTTATTATTTTGCGTTGTCATTGTTAGGTTTCCAAAACAATTCCTACAGCAAAATTTGCCGACGTCTTATGGAAACTTTTAATCATATTCCAGTTTTTAATACGTCTGTTCGACATAACGACTCTAGCCAGATGAAATCGAAATCAATTTGGGTTTTTTTTTTACCCATTTCTACTGTCGTCACAAGCACTTAAGGCAATTGGCCCGAAACGGAGGGATATAGACACAAGGCATTGAAGAAACCAGCTGGTTAGTCATCTAAAGTATCAACCGAGCACTTTTATGATGCGAGCAGAAATTTCGCAAAACATTATCCACACAAGCCCATCACGGCGGCCTAGACGTCTGACTCTCGGCCTCTTTTATCGGAGCTTAATCGCAAAGTGTATCCATATCCATTTTATATTCACATCCAAATCCACATTAAAGTCCGTGAGATACAAACTGGGCTCAGATTTGGGCTGCTGTTGCCATCAATTACATGCCACATGAGTCTTTGTGTCTGCGTCTCTTTGTGCATATGTATCCACGGGATGTGCAAGATTTCGGTGTTCGTTGGTCCACGTCGTGTGAGGTCACCACTTGAGAGACCTTATCGCGCCACCACCCGCCCTCCAGTTACCATATATACTCCATAGCTGCCTTTGTTTAATCGCATTTGCTGCATGCACTTGGGTAGTTGAGTTTTTAGTGCACGTCCGTCTGAAGTACAAAAGTTTTATTATTAATTTTTTTAGTAGCGCTTTTTAACTGCTTTTGTCTTCTTTCGGCCAGACACACTCATACATATGGTGCGTATGACTGCTAAATATTATTATTTTAATTATGCATTTTTATATGTTTTTTCCCCTCTTAATTGCCGGCTGTTTCATTGTCATAGGTTAAGCATTGCTTCACGGCGAGCCAAGCGTAATGATTTTGTAATTGGCATTATATCAGAACCCGCCTCTTGTTGATCAGCTGGCATATTAAATAATAATCGCGGTCCTAACGACCACAAACTGCGTTTAAGAAAGTGATATTGCTAATTGCCTGAGTCAGTTGTCTTTAAATTGCTTTTATTAAATAATAATCGCAGTCTTAACAACCAGAAACTAAGTTTAAGAAAGCGATGTTGCTAATTGCCTTTGACCGCTGTCTTTCAATTGGATTAAGTCTTTGTTTTTGAGTGAAAAATAAGTGGAAGGTCTTAAAAATAATTCGGTGGGTTATAGACCGGTACTAGATAGATGAGCAAACTAAAACCTGCTCATGTGAAATTTGTTCGTACTTGAATCGCATAATTCGTGTTTCGTTTTCGTTGGTTTGTTTTGCTCTGCCTCGACTCTACTCTTTTTAGCACGTACTTCATATACACCATATATCCGAGCATATATACTCGGCCAAACTGTGTCTGTGTGTCGCGATTTCTTTATGCTATGTGCTCCAAGCCTCTCTGTGCCACAAGATCTTTTCCACTTTGTAAACACATCGAACGCTGGATGGTATCGGAGTCGTAAGCTTTTCGGTCGCTGATTTCGTATGCCCCTCAAAGCCCTCAAATCCCCATTATCCGTTGCATGTTGTCTTGCACTGTGTTTACCTGGTCGGAACCCCCCTTTTGCTGTCACTGATTTATTATTACACTGGAAGTCATTGAAAAAGACAAGTAGCCTTAATTTTAACTATACTAGTACATAAGTACGAATGAGTTTTATATACGTTGGTGCATCATCTGTGCGTTGCATATGCCTGCATTAAGGTGCAGTAAAGCAACTTATGTCTCAATCCAGAGGCAATTTGCCAGTGTAAAGTCACTGAAGTGCAAACTAAATGGAAGGTCTTCTGCCTCCGATTACCAAGATTAAGTCTAAAATCAAGTTCAGAGGTTAGTCTCGATTGCCACTTGTGGTTCGGTATTCGGTAACGGAAAATGGTTAAAATGGTTTCGTTGAATTGATACCTAAATGCACCCAAGTTTGATTTCGTATTGCTTTTTACAAAATGACTGTTTGATTGATATGTGCTTCCCCCATTAATTAACTAATCAGATCTTTTTGTTATCACTGCCTTTGACAACCGAGTGAGAATGTGATTAATTATAATATCAGATACAGTTTGCGAGGCTTAGTTCCGACTCAAAATATTGTTTATAGGCGACTTTAATTATTGCGTTTCTCGGTATATTTATAGACTGCTAATTGTATGGGTGATATGTGACTCATAAGAGATCTATTTGATAACTACGTGTTTTGATCTATTGATCGCTTTATTATTGGCGATTATTCAAATAAGTTTGTTTTATTGTGTTCCTTGTATATTATTTTTTTTGTATTATATTATTTTGCTTGGCAGCCTATTTGGTTTTACTGCTGGAAATTCTTTCTTTGTGCCTTAATTGTGACACATGAATATGGAAAGCAATTAATTGATCAAAACGTGCTATAGCTTTTGGATCAGCTATTTCTTCCGTTTTTATAATCCATCAAACCATTGTTTTTTTGATTTTGTTTTTATTCACCCATTCAAGTGATAACTTGTTTGCTAGTTTTCATTCCTACTTTACTTTGTTCAACCATTCAAGTTACTAAATAATCATAAACCAAAATACACTTATTATGATCTCTGTTTATTTGTTAGCATATTTTGTATTTCCTTAATAAATAAGTATTTGATTGCTACATTGTTTATTATCCAATCTATAAATAACTTCTGAACAGATTCTGTATTGAAAATCGACGCGGAAATTAACCCGAAGTCTCTTGATTGATATCTCAATCGATTCATGAAACTGGCTTATGTATTTAAGTATTCTTTGACCTGTTCATAAATGAATCAACTTCAAGAGAAGCTCACTTTGAACCGGGGTCTGAGGAGTTCTGTACCCCCCATTCATTCAAATTACTCATACGTCATGGGGCCGCTGATAGTCGATCGAAAGTGCATGCTTCGTAAATTGAACGTCACGAATGCAAGTTGTGTTTCAGTTCGCCGCTAACTTTGTCTTTTTATTGATTTTAATTTAACACAAATTGCCTTTGCTGTGGCACTGGCCGCGGCTCAATAGACTCTGAATTGATTGCTGGGAATGAGAATGGTTATGGGTATGGGAATCGGAATCCGGGTGGAATGTAAGCGAGTAGGAATGCAGGGAAAAGAGCGGAAATACTTAAACATTCTTTACTTTTCACTTGCAGATTAAAAGCGAAGAGGTCGTGGAAGCCTATATCGAACGATGTCGACAGGTTAGTAACTTAATTTGCACATAATACTACTCACAATCTAAATCAAATTAGTTTATTCATTTCAATTATAATTAACTAATTTAATTGGCACCTATAACTAACTTTATTATATAATTCCTACAAAGTGTTCAATTCTCCTGAAACGTTTACCCCTAATGGTTTGGCCCTTAGAGTTCAACGATTGTGACATATTCTCACCTATTAGTAGCAAAATAATAATATATTATTCATTTTAAGTGAATGATTATATTAAAGACGGCATTCTGAAGTATATTTTGTAATTAAAATTGAAATGTTGTAAGTAAATGATACTTTAATAAGTTAATGTGTAACCAAGCTGATAATTAAATATGATACAAATATAATAATTTTCATTTATGCATAATAATGAGAAATGGGAATAAAAATGTTGAGAGTAATTTGTATAGTGAACCTTACTAAACAGGCGATTTTTATTGAAATTCTTGCAGGTGAATCCCCTGATAAATGCCATCGTTCAGGATCGTTTCGAGGAGGCGCTGGAGGAGGCCCGCGAGATAGACAACGTGATAGCCATGGGCATCAACAGCGTGGACTCGATGGAGGAGCTCACGCCACTGCTGGGCATTCCGGTGACCGTCAAGGAGAGCATCGCCGTTAAGGGGATGACCAACCAGGCCGGTCGTGTCTTCAAGACTCCGCAGATTGCCAAGTCGGATGCGCCCGTGGTGGAGCAGATAAAGCGCTCCGGCGGCATCATCCTGCTGGTGTCCAACACACCGGAGTTGTGCCTGCTCTGGGAGACATACAACAATGTCACGGGTCAGACGAAGAATCCGTACGATCTGAAACGCACGCCGGGCGGATCCTCGGGTGGCGAGGCGGCCCTCCTGGCCAGCGGTGCCTCCCTGCTGGGCCTCACCTCGGACATAGGTGGCTCCTCACGCCTGCCGGCCATGTTCAGTGGCATTTGGGGCCACAAGCCCACGCCGTATGCGGTATCCTTCCGGGGTCATCATCCGACGAGTGACTTCCCCAAGTGGGGCGACTTCTTCACCATCGCCCCGATGACTCGCTACGCCAAGGATCTGCCGCTGCTGCTCAAGTGCATGAGCGATCCCACGGGTCCCAAGCTGACGCTGGACAGGGCGATCAGTGTAAACGGGATCCGGTTCTTCTTCATGGACAATGATGGACCGTCGGGCATGATGCGACCGCTCAGCAGGGATCTGCATGCGGCCATTAACCGCGTGGCCACCGACTTCAATGCCAAGCGGGTGAATATCCGCAAGATGAAGTGGTCGTTGGATATTTCGCTGTCGGCAATGCTGACCATGAAGAACATCGAGACCATCTACCACAAGACGGAGGAGGGCGAGCAGCCCAAGACCGTGTGCAAGGAGACGGTCAAGTACTTCTTTGGCTGCTCGGACAGCATCCTGCCGTCGGTGATCTTCGGCCACCTGCAGAACTTCATGAAGATCATACCGAACTCGCGCCACAAGCATTTGGCCAGCATCATCGAGGCGCTCAAGACTGAATTCAAGGAGATGCTGGGCAACGACGGCGTCTTCCTCTACCCGACCTTCCCCAACACGGCGCACCAGCACTACCAGATCTACCACAAGCTGCTGGAGCCGATGTACATGGCCATCTTCAATACGCTTGGCCTGCCGGTGACCAACTGCATGATCGGCTTGGATCGGCGCAACCTGCCCATGGGTATCCAGGTGGTGGCCAATCCGGGCCAGGATCACCTCTGCCTGGCGGTGGCGCGTGAAATGGAGCGCCGCTACGGCGGATGGGTACGTCCTCCGTCCGAGGACAGCCACAGCAGCAATGGGAGCAGCAAGCAGCGTGGCTAGGAAGCTTTAGCTGGAAGATCGGCCTTAATCCTGTGCGTGATTCACTTGAACTTTGTTTTGTTTTTAGCTAATTGTACACTGTCGAGCAGTTAGGGAATTTCAGAGAGACTTCAAACGGATTTAGACTAATCCCTGTTATCAGCCGCAACTGGTTGAATGGTAGAAAGGAATCCCTAGAGCAACCTCTTTATTTTATCAGCATTATATTCGACCACACATCACACCACAAAACATTCGGGACCCTTAAAATTAATAATCCCTCTCGCTTCATTACCCATTGTATTAAATTATTGTCAAAAACTTCTCTGAGTTTGAAATTCGTATTCGTATTTGTATTATCTTTACCTATATGTAAATATTCGTCTAGCATCTAAGTGTTAGGTTTATGTCGCGTCCGGCAAAGATCGATAAATATATCCAGTATGTGTATGTACATTTTGTAGCGTCTCGTTAAAACAACTTTACAACTTTACGACTTTTGCAAAGAACCAAATTCGTTGAATAAATACGTAACAGAAAAAATATTAACCGAAATTTTCACTTCTGTGGCGCAACTGCCTCCGAAAAGCAGTTGGCCTCCACTTGCTGCCGTCGAGGGAGGTCCGAGTCCGAATCCACGAGCGCTTTGAAATTGGGCTCACCTGAGCAACGGACCCGAAGACAAAATAAAACAAGTATTAGACGGCTACTAGAGACAATACACGCTCGGATACATGTACCACTTAATAAATGGTTCCACTTCGTTGCCCCGGCATAGAGAATCTTACTACAGTCTAGCCCATTTTTGAGAAAATTTTCAACTTACCTAAACTTAATAGGGGCTGAGCTTGATATAGTTTAAATACTAAAATACAAAGCCCTACAAATCTATTTCATTGCTAAACCTCAATAGATCTATTTCGAAAATTAGTCGACTATTTTTACAAGTAGAGTTTTTCTCTAAAAGTAAGCAGTATGTTTTTCAAATTTGAAAGTTCAAATAGAAATTACCTACGACTATTTAATTTGCTTAGTAATGAAATACTGCATATTAATGACTAGCTTATACCATCTATCAGATGAGAGTTGCTCTTATAGAATTTCGAATGTAGTAGTCACTGACTAACTAACTTAGAAGTTCCGTCGACTGGGAAATCGCTAATCTAATAGCCTTAATCGTGCGCATGCGCAGCCGTTTCCCAGCTGCCAGTTAAGTGTCTAATGCATTTTTGTCATTCGAAATGCCGAATTTTGTGCACTGTTTATTGGCCTGGCTAAGGCGAATTTAGAGTTGGATTTGGTGTTCGCTAGTTGTTTGTTATTTTTCTATTGCAAAAATATATTTTCGTGTGCGTGTGTAAGTGGTTAGTTTTCGGCTTTTGGAGTAGCCCAAGGTTGCGCCAATATGGCTTGCGCAATTCCGCTGCTGGCGGTGGCGGCCCGAACGTGGTATTTGGCCAGAAAACTCGGAGGTAACTCAGATTCTTGCCCAAGAATGTGGCGGTCGTTGGCGTTTCAAAGAGCTCTGTCCAATGCCAGGCGAAAAAAGTTGGCGGGGTGATCAGACTGCAGTGCCCCGAATTTAGGTGAAAACATTTTCAATTGTCTAGAGCGGAAAACCTATGCGGCGTGACAAAAACTATGGAAATCTCGTGTCATGATTCGACTACCTGTCAGGGAATCACTGGAAGGCAAAGCCGCTCTCTCCACAGCGGCAGCTATCTTCTCCCGCTGGAAGGCTGTTTACCTGAGACACCTGCGCACTCCAGAGAGCCGAAACTGTTTCGAAATCGAGCTAAACTGGAGTGAGAGGCGTTGGAAGACGATACGAGCAAAAAAGAGATACGGGTTTAGAAAGAATATACATATGTATGTGCATAATTGTGTACAAAGGTACATATAACTTTAACTTTACAAAGTATATTCTTAAGATTTAGTGATAAATATAGAAGATATAGCAGACAAATAAAATTATTTTTTATTTGTAACTGAATACGTTAATTTACCAGAATTTTTTAAGAATATTAAAATGGATTTAACAACTTTTTCCATACAAGAGACACTTCCAAAAAAATTAGTAAATAATTTATAAGCTAGGAAAATCTTAATACAAAGGAATAGTCGTTGTAGATAAAAAAGTACTTTAATCTGCTTTGTATCCAAAACAAACATTTTGAACATTATAGGGGCCACAAATGTGTGTACATATATAATCCGTCCCTGATTAAACACTCGAACGGTTATCAATTGTTGCTGCCTGCCTTGTTCCGAATTCCCCGACCTCAGCATTAAGTCGGATCAGAGAGATATACATACATAGAGAGGGAGAGCGGAAATATAGTTCCAGTCGTCGGCATTCCAGCCTGACCAGACCAGACAAGCCGTATTCCGGCTTTGGAACTGTGCGTTCACTTGGAAATTGAACCGAGAAGCGAGCGGTTGTGTCCGTCTCCTAGCCAAGGCCTTGCCGTAGTTCCAGTCAAAGTTTGACTGTACCAATTATAACCTTTGTAATCTGCTCATTTGAGGTGACAAATCTAACGCATATTTGTTTACCGTGATCTAAGCAGAGAGATTAAAACTGTGTCGATTACCGTGTTAAATCAACTAGAAATCCAGTGTGATATTAACCCCGTAAGACTCAGACACGTGTTGCCAAAGATCCCATTCTTTGGTCAGCACGCTTTGAAACGTATAGTTGCTGATGCCACGTGTTTGCCCCATACGCAACGTGTTGGCTGAAGCACACATAAAAATTTCAAAGGTTATATGTACTAAATTTAAAACTGGCTGCGAAGAAACACAAGCTCTTGTTCTTTCATTAGTTAAAACATGTACAGCATTTTGTCAAAAACTCTGTATTTAATGCTGAAACTATTTACATAGTTCAGAAAAATTACTAAATGTACCATTCGTAAAACTAACAGCAGGAACAAAGAATTCTAAGTTAAACTTATGCGGGCTAGCATTTAATTTTTAATGCCTTAACCCTAACAATTTTCGATGAAAGAAGAAAAACGAATAAACAGAATGAAGTGTGATCTATGAAATTTGTGATGGCGGAAGGCGGGTCAAGCAGCTAGCACTATTTCTCTTTGGCGGCCTGCGTTTTGCGAGTTTTTGGCTCTGGCGGGTCGATCAGATTGCCGTGACGCACCACGTCGATGTGGCCAAGACGGATCATTTTCTCCTCCCAAACAGTAATCGCTTTTCTACAAACATAAAAATATATTAAGGTTATAAATGACAATGTCTCGTAGAACGGTTAGAAAAATGTATATGTGAGGGCACAAATTAAGATCTGGAAAGGCATTCTTAACGACAACTAACTTATTAATCTCTATATTGCATTATGAAATCCGTTTTTTTCATTTCCAAATTTTACAACTTGGAAGTTTTTCCGCGCTAATTATCTTGCCTCTTGAAAAAAATATGAAAGAAAATCACGTGTACTTTGTAGGAAAAATTTAAGAAGTATACTTAAAGGGTGTTAAACGCAAATATTTTTAAAGATTTCAAGAAAAACTCCATCCAAAGAGTTACTTATTTTAAAATCTTATCTTAATGTATACCTTAAACGTCTTTTTTTTAAAATAGAATATATAAAGTCTTTAAAGCATTAATTATTACATGTTGCAAAACCTTGATTTTAAGTTTATAAAGCAGTGATTTATGTTACATATTTCAGAATGCGATAATATCCAAGTCTTTCTAGTTCTCCATTGAGCTTGTTTCAGTAAGATCAAGCTATAGTAATTTTTTTTGTAACTGATAAAGGATTTCTAGAAAAGTATTCATAATTTAATTTCAGAAACATTCGACTGCCAAGCAGCTCTTTGGCGATAACTCGATAAAAGAAAAACAAATCGCCCTTACAAAACATGTCCCACAACATGTACTCACTTGTATAACTCCATCTCCTTGCGCGACTCCTGCATATAGACCTCCTTCTCGGAGTCGGGAAGGCGGGTCCACTTGGCCGTGGTCTTTTGGTGCCATTCGCGGTAGGTTTGCTTGGGATCTTGCGGGGTATTGGTGCGCTCGCTGGCGATGAAACGCAGGAAGGCGGAAGCCGGCTTCTTGGGCCGCCCGAGTTCCTTGACGCGCTTGCGCAGCTGTCGCCGCTCCTTGGCGTCCACGACGTCCTGCTTGAGCTGCTTGATCTCCGCTCGCTGTTCGTCCGTGAGGGTTGCATCGTACTTGGTGCGCTGCTCCATGTAGATCTGCTGGTCCTTCTTGAACGCGGCCTGCAGGCGATCCTTCAACTGGACATCAGCGTCAGACCAGTCCTTGGATAACTGACGCACAACCTCGATGGTGGTGATCTTGGGATTGGCGGCTACCAGCTTGGGCCGCTGCTCGCGCATGAAACGGAAGTAGGGGGTCAGCGGTTTCTTGGGACGCGGTGGCAGGCCCACCTGCTCCTCCAGCGTTTTCGACTGGACCACTGGACTGTTACTGATGCTGGCGGCGGCTAGGGGCCTAGGGGGTGTGAGGGGTCTGTGGTCGGTGTCATTGGCACGAGATGGATCACTGGGTGGCCAATCTTTGGCTACAACTTGCCTGACTTTGTTGATCAGCGAGCCGATGAGGCCGCCTCGCGAGGACAGCAGCGTGGTGGTGTAGATCATGCTCCTGCTGGTGATCCTGCTTCTTTATATAGTAAGTTTTTCTGGTCCAAAGATTCAAGTTGTCGAGTAGTACAGCATGGGAACTTGTTGCATTTACGGCAAATAAGTTTTACGTAAAAAATGCGGCATTCTTTGCCAAAAGTTGCCACCTGGTTCGTTTATTTACCTTTGAGCTGCCAGATAGTCTTGGGCATTTGTTATCGATTGTTGACCATCTCTATTAAGCCCATAACCTTGTTTATTATTTTTATTTGTTTCCTGAGCTAAAACATTAGATAAAATTGTTTAAAACACCTTCGACAAAATGACTAACAATGATGCGCTGGCGGAGACAGCCGGATCCAGTCGAGCTGGCGGCAGCAAACAGCAGCCTAAGCTAGAAATCACCGAGAAAGTGCGTGTCCTTTGTCTGCACGGCTACCGCCAGAATGGAGATGCCTTCAAAAACAAGCTGGGATCCTTCCGGAAGTTCGCCTCCAAGTATGCGGAGTTTGTGTTTATTACGGCGCCGCAAGTGGCTGCTGCTTTAGAGTCGTCAGCGGAACCTGTACCGGAGCAGAGGAGCTGGTGGGCAAATAAGGACGATGGATCCTTTAAGGGAACGAACAAAGGTGGACCTGCCTTTGGCTTCCAGGAGAGCCTGCGATGCGTGGAAGAGGCGTGGAGCACGCAGGGCCCATTCCAAGGACTCCTGGGTTTCTCACAGGGCGCATGTTTCGTGGGAATAATATGTGGCCTTGCCAAAAAGAAGTGTAGGCCTTAAAATATCAGAAAATAAGATGTTTAGTATACCAACACCTATTTTCCACAGTGACCTCCATCCGCCCGGAGTTTGCAGTGCTTTCCTCGGGCTTCTTATCCGGCAGTCTAGTGCACATGAGCGCCTACGAGGAGGCTATCAGCATACCCACTCTGCACATATACGGTCAGACGGACGAAATTATACCCAAGGATATGAGCGAATCCCTGGCCGCGCATTTCAAGAACGCTGAGGTGCTGGAGCACAGTGGTGGCCACTACTTTCCGGCCACGGCGCAGCAGAAGCAGACGTTCATCAACTTTTTCCAAGACCGGTTGCAGGAGTTTCTGGAGCACCAGGAGCTGCAGCAGAGCGGCAATGCCTCCTTTGTGGACAGCGGAGCGGAGGATGACAACGATGCCGAGGTGGCCGCCATGACGGCCGAACTGGACGAGAGTGATTAGCTAAAGCACAGGGGTTTTTTCGTTCGTTTTTAATAATAATTAAATCTTATTATTACAAAAATAATGATTTGATTATAAATTATAATATAATTAGATCCCAATATTGTTTAAATATTCACTCTGCTTACGAAGGATCAAGCGGATGGGGTATTGAAATTGCTGCACGTTCGCTCAGTTCGCACTTTTACTTTTTATGACTTTGTGTATTTTCTCAACAAATTCGTATAAATTCCATTAAAAAGAAACAAACAAGTGGGGGTAGGGTGTAAAGTTAAAGCCGAATATTATAAATCCCATTCCAAAGTACAATTTTGTTTTGGAACTTTAGTGAATTGTTCCTTGCAATATAAACAACGAAAAATGCATATTTAGCTATTGGGACTGCGGCTGCAGTTGTTGCTTTTTTGACCAGGCAGGGAGGTTGGAAATCGCAGACAGATCTCCCTCTTTCATCCGGGTTTTCGTACATTTCGTTTGCGGGGGACAAGCGAGCGACAGAAGTTTAGGGTCTCTGGATTTAGCGGATTTAGTTTGTCTCGTTTGCTGCTGCTGTTGCTTTTGTTGATGTGTTTGCTGCTGTTAGTTGTTCTCGTAGGGGTGATTGACTGACTGACTGCTGCTTTTTATGCAACCTGCTCCTGTCCGTTTGAGGCCTCTTGGTTTTTCATCACTTCGGGTAAGTCTGGTGGTGCCGAGTAGGGTGTCATGTCCAGTGTCTCAAAATCGCCCACCTCGTTCCTATAAAAAGAAGGCAAAGAAGTTGCTGTAAGTCTGTAAGCGGAACACGTGCCGCTCGCCCGCCTTGTCCCCTAGATAACCCGCAACCGGCTTATCAGCGACTCTCACCTGAATGTCAAACCCAGCTGCGCCGGAGCCTGCGCCTTGGCCGTGGACACCGTCACGCCGTAGTCCTGCAACGTGCTTTCGTCCTCCATGACGTCGTTGTCCTGATTGTATAACCGCTGATCCACGGGCTGTACTTTCAGTATACCTAAGCGGAGTATTCAATCATGGAGTTACTTAATAATGCCCTATAAATAGAAAACAACACTCACCCTCAATCATTCGCTTCAGCTCGGCCACCGTTGTGTTCTCCTTGGCGTCCGTGAAGATGGTGGTCTTCTGCCGCCTGATCATAAGGAACACGTCCTGAAATAAAGAGGGAGAAGTGTTTGAGGGTTTCTGTTCGTTTCGGTCAAAGTTCAGCGGTGGTTTTTTAATGTGTCATGCCTGCCGCCCACGCAGTAAACACATAGGCTGCCTACATTTGCCTTGGGTATGTAGAGATCTCTGGCATAAAAACCTTAGACGCACTGCATCCTAGCTGCCCATCGGCTGGTGGTGAACCACTTACCATGTTGCGGAGTTTGTGGAGCTGGCGCTACGGCGGCTAATTGAATGCGGCTCAACCAGGTGGCGATGGCAAGCAGTGTCGAATTGGGAGCTTGCGGCGTGGGCGGCACTTCCTTTGGCGGTCGCGGGCGTTCGTTTCGATCGGCTGGAATTTTCCTACTTCGCTTGCACCACCGCTGCTGGGCGCTTCTTTTTTTCCTGTGCCGCTTCTCCGGGGTTGGGGGCGGCGCGAGTGGGCGTGGCGTGCGGTTCGCGGTACAGTGTGTGTTTGTGTTTGTGCAACAGCTTCCTCGGTTGCCCCGCACTTGTAGGTTTTCGTAGTTTTACGATTTTTTCTGGCCTTTTTCCCTTTGCTGCTGCTTTCTCAACCAATTAGAGCTGTCAAACCATCGATGGCACTATCGATAGTATCGATATTTGAGGTCCAGCCACCACCAGAAAGTTACTCGCGTTAATATCGGAACAACTATACATTCTATTTATAATTCTTTATTTATGCTTTGTTATTTAAATATCCTGCAGTTATTTAATTTTAGGAATTACAAAACAATTCTCTTAGAATATTTTTGCATATGGTTTTTTAAATATAGATATATGTATACTTTAATTAATTTAGTTTTGCAAGCAAAGAACATTTTCCTTATTAAATATTCAATTGAAATACATTTAAGTTTTGTCTTTAATTTTTTCAGTGTACATTTTTCTTAATATTTTTTTATAAAACAGATACGAGCTTGTGTAGCCCTGACGAGATGACAGAAACGCCCTAAAAAATCCCACGACAACTGTCAGTGTCACTTATCTCGTTTCGCCTGTTTTATTTGCCACGAAATGGTTTTGCTCGACAATTCGAACGTAAATAAATCAAAAACTATGGAAAAAAGTTGTTGAATAACTATATTTAATTACAGTTCATCCTGCGCCTGGAGAAGATCGCCAATGCGGCCAAGAAAGACTCTTCCTTTACGCTGACATTCAAGCGCTGTGAGTGGTACCGCCTGAAAAACATGATATTTAGGTACTAAAAATTTCTCTTTAATTATATTCCCCAAGATGATGGCCATGATAAACCTGTACCGAGAGCAGGTCGTCCTCCGTTACCCAAACCGGAAACCTACATGTGCCTGATACGAGCCCAGTCAAAATCCCAGAAGGTAATGCCGCCCGAGTTTTTCGCTAAAACTCTATTAAGAAACCTCACATTTACGACAGATTTCCACCGTCGTCCGACAGGAGGATGTGCCCACCATGATGGGCATGTACTCGCAGTTTATGAAGAGCAAAATGGATGGCCTCAAACGCGTTAAGAAGGTCAAAAGCAAGGCCAAGGCGACAAAGGGTTAACTAGGGGAAGTAGCACTTAGATAGATTTTATTTGACTGTTACCAGGTCTTTTGTTTTAAATGCATCATTTTCTACTGTAAATTTATTGAGTTTTTGTTTATTGAGTATAAATCGACCATCCGACGCAGCTTGAGCAGCCACTTGGGCAACTCCCTAAGCCTCAATCCGTAAATGAACTTTGGTTTTATGAGGTCCATGAAACTATATAGATCCTCATTTAGATCTATCTCACCCAGGATATCTTCGTCTATGTAGGCTACATCAATTCCTTCACTAAGGCCATGATGAAATGAACTATGGGCCTTGGGCAAAAAGTCCAGGAAGCCGGATAGGCGATCCACAATCAGATATCTTACGTGGCCATCTATAAATGGATTTGATTGGTTTACAACGAAAATATACGATCGAAACATATACCAACTCTCTATATAGTACAACGTCGTTTCCAAGCCATTTTCGCTTTTTCCTGCTGGTATTAACGTGATTGTAATCTGGTTGCCATCATACTCTATTTGGGTAGGCTTGTTCGGCCTAATGGTTTTATAGAAGGAATTCTCTGAGTTGAAGACGCTGGACTTAGCTTGGGATCGAAACCGAATGATATCCTGCTCAGATCCAACAACGGATTTGGACCAATTTTCGGGAACAATGTGTTCTGTGAAGGCGGCAGACGATAGGAGCAAAGGTCCACGGTGCTGAAATGCCATAGGATGTTACAAAGGTTTCATAACAGAGTTTATATTGCGTACCTCTTCGAACAAGCCATATTTCTTTCCTGTTTCTAGTATTAAGGGCTGGCCAATGTCATTAAGAAACATTTTTAATTATCCGCCAAGTGTTTTGCAAATAGCCTTAATCTGGTGTGACCAGTGCGCTATGTCAAAACAATACCAAATATTCGAAATATATTCGCCGCGACAAAAATTCTTCGCTGTGTTTTACGTTTAAATTTAAGCGCGAATTTTAGAAGGTTATAAAATAAGGTCATATTTCTATTCTATAAATATCAAAATTGTATTTTTAAAATAAATCAGACTATATTATAATTGGAACTAATCGAATTTTAAAAGGTCTTAGTATTAAAATGCAAAGAAAATATATAAAATTGATTAAAGCCTTTATAAAATCGTAATTTTTCTCCCCCTGTTTTGAATAGCGATCAATTAAAAACCAACAGAATTTAGCTTTATAATTGTATTGTTTTTCTTTAAACTTTTCGTTTTAGCTAAACGTACATACTGTTTGTTCTATATCTATCACAATGAATATTTGTGTCGCATGAGTTTTAGTGAGGATGAGTTTGTCTTTGTCAAAAAATTTTGATCACGATACAATGGAAATAATCAAATTGACTTATGCTAACATTTAACTCGTCACTAAGACCTCGTCACGCATAAGTTAAGTGTAATTTTTACCAGATTTATTTTTTGCTTTTAGAACAAAGACAGTCTTTAACAATATCCGAACGGATCTGCAGTTGGGTTCCCGAACCCTGCTGCAAACCCGATATTTCGATTTAAATGTTTGCTTGTTACTTGACATTTGGCCATTGATGAGCAAGTATGTGCGTAAATGTTGGACAGAGATGATTTAAATGATAACGTAAGGAGAGATAAAGTATTGGAAAAATATAAAAGATTCTATCATCTCTGTTCGTGTACATATGGGGTGGTAACCCCAAGGTGCTAATGTACAACGAGAAAATGACTAAAGCACATAAAAGTGCACGTACAAATAATAACAAATAACTATCACACCTGATCCCGCTTTCGAGTTCGATCAAATTTTATGGAAAAGCTGCCTGGGATTTCAAACCATGATTTGGGTTTAGAACAAGCAAGTTTCACAAATCGATTGCGATTTTACCAAATTTGAAAAAAATTGCGAGCAGGGCTTCGTAACTTAGGCGCCGAAATTAAATTAAAACGGTTAATTTGCATAGGTAACAATATTCCAACAGAAAGCCTCAAGGACCTAGTTGAAAGTGTTATAGCGCAAGTTGCTATCGACATCGCCCACATTGCCGCCAAAGCCCGGACTGGGCGGCTGGTCCGCCATGAGATCTGCGCTGGACTGCGAGTGACGCCGCTGACCCGGCCACGTCCAAGCATCACGGATGCTGTCGACCAGGCGCTGCGGGAATGTCTTGTACTCCATGTCGACCGACTGAGTATCACCGAAATTGAAATCGGCCACTTCAACATTGAAGCTGTGGGGAAATAAACATATGTTATAGAAAGAATTCGACATAGTTACGCTCCAAGTTCTCACCGATTTCCCCGCTGAATATAATAGGCCACGCCGAAAACAACTAGAATTACAGCCACCAATGTGCAGGTTACGGGCACAACTACGACTGAAAGCTGAGATTGACGTTGGGCTACAAGGTGACATAAATATTTAAATGATAAAGGAACATATAAAAAGCTTGGATTTGGTTTCTACCTACCTTCATACATGTTTATGGTAACCTGATTGAGTGTCTGGGAAACCTCATTGCGTATGAAGAAAAGAATGGTCTTGCTTTCGCTAAAGTAACGCATGTATTCATATGAACAATTCTCGAGTAGTTCATATCGGTCGCATGTCTCATTACCCGTGGAATTGTAGGGCGCTGAATAGAAAAGACATTAGTTATAATTATATTATTTAAATATATATATATTTATCTTAAATTAGTATACAATTTAAAAACAAGAAAAAAATATATGTGCTTTTATGATTACAATGTCTACTCACCAGTAAAAACTTGCGTACAAAGCTCAAATGGTGGCGATCCCTTGCAGTTGACATTGAGCTGAAGCATCTCCCAGTGCTGCAGCCAATTCTTGCCCGTGGTGCCGAAACCAGTAACGGGATCTGAATGGAATACGAAACAATTAATAGTCAGATATATACAACAATTTAACCAAACCCACCTTTGGATACAATGCGGTGCTGGAAGTAGCCGTATATCTGTTTTGGATCCTGGGCTACAAACTTTTTGCTCACGCAATCGAATGGCGGTTGAATACCGGGCACCACAGTGAGCTTGGACAGCCGGCGAACTCCCAGGGGATTGACAAGTGCCACGGACACATTCCCATCGGAATTCTTTTGCTGCTTCAAGGCGCTGGTTAGGTTTAGACCAAGTAGAGCGGCGTTGGCGTGCATGGCCTGGATTAAATCACGTTTGGCTCGAGCTGCTGGCTTTGGAGTAGTGGTTGTCGTAGTTGTTGATGTTGTTGTAGTTTTTGGAGTGGTGGTTGTGGCAGGTGTTGTTGAAGTTGTTGTTGTGGCGGGAGTTGTAGTTGTGGTTGTTGTTGTCGTGGTAGTTGTAGTGGTAGTGGTTGTTGTCGTCGTGGTTGAGGGCGTTGGCTCAGGCGGCAGCTCCAGTGTGGCCACCACTAAAGCCTCCACGTCGTAGTATTGCTCAGCTTTCGGATATGTGGCCTGATAGTCCAGGGCACTGGACATGCCCAGATATGTGCAGTTTTGAAACCAATACGTCTGAATGTGATATCCCTTCGCCCGCAGAAATGCAAGATCCACATCGGAAAGCAGTATGCTATGATTCACCGCCTCCTGCGTGGACACAAACTCATGCGGCCGCGTCACATTGTTCTGAATCAGTTCCAATCTGCCGCCCAGCAAGTTATCAAGCTTTATTTCCCTTCGGGCCACGGCCTCATTTACCCAAATAATGAAGTACTTATCCACTTCGACTTTAAGGACATGCGTAGCTGCTTGCTCCTGATTGTAGATCACAGTCCAATGGCTGGTGGCATTGGTAGTCTCTATCACCTGCAGGCACAAAGGCAATTGATTAGTATAATTGGTAGTGGTTTTGGGCTCGCTTTACATGCAAATTCAACTACAATAGTAGCCACCAAACGCCTCTGATATGACCACGTACCAGGCACAACAGGAAAAAAAACTGTCGCTGAATAGTAATTGTTTAAAATTAGCATTCAAATCCAGTGACGCCATAACAATAGAAGAAGCATGGCTCAGATTAGAACTTGAAGTGCGCGTCTATTTGAACATCTGTATTCTGGCTTGGAAATTAAAAATATATATACATATATTTAAATAAAATTACCCTATTGGTAATGAACTAAATTTTTTGCCCGTCTGATATCGAGAGAATTAAGTGCTATCTAAAAGTTCTACGAAATATTGCGACTTGGAAAAGATTGTATAATCCAAACCAACAATCTGAGTAATTCAACTCATGTTTTAGATAAGTGACACAATGTGCCTTTTCCAGCCATATAGAATATATTCCTTGTTATAAAAAAAAACATTTACATTAAACTAAACAAATGTATCACAAACCAATAATTAAATTTGTCAGTACTTTAAATATTCTCAAAAATATAAGTTCTTATTATGACGGATCTTTAAAAAAAGCCTTTTGCGTTATATTAAGTTGATTGAACTATCTGAAGAATTCTTCTTAAATATTTAATGATTTAAGAAGAATTCTTCAGATAGTCTAGAGCAAAACTTTATATTATGTTTGAGTGGGGATTTAGCTTTCCTAAATAATTGAGTTTATAAACTTTAAAAAGTACTGTGTAAAGGGAATAAAGCAATTGACCGATAAAACACATGTTTAGATAGCTGCTATTATTTGTTTGGTATAAAACATTATCTGTGTTTCTACTGCATTTGGGTGGGTGAACAACCTGAAACCAGCTTTCCTGACAAGTTTTATGAGCCAGTTAATGGGCGTAGACTGTAAACTCTAGCCCGATAGACTCGCTTGCATTTGCATTGGCAGGCAATTAGTCATGCTATTGGGCTCGGAGCTTTCTTTCTTTGTTTATCACGTTCTAGGGAATATGGAATCGTTACCTCTCGATTGCCAGCACTGTCGCTCCAGGTGAACTTGTAGGAGCCCTTTCCAGCCGGTCTGCCATTATCGTAGAGCTGGGCGGATACATTGATAGAGGATCCGATGAGGGCCTGATCGGGGGCCGTAATTGAGACCGTGTAACAGGTGACTGCAATGGGGAGAATCGTTAGTTTTGGCCCCGTTTAGAGGTTTATTGATTTCACCGCCATATATCCATTACCTGTCTGCAGGAGAGCGTAGAAAGCCAGTGCCGCTATTAGCGACATGTCGATTGGAATTCCCCTTCCACTCGATGATTATAATGGAAAATCACTTGGGTTCGCCCCTGCCTCGATGCCTCCCTTTTACCATCAAATCGGAAAATCCAAGCAACAAACAAAATTTACAATGAAAAAAAACAAACACAAACACTTTGCCCAAATGCTACACCCACTTTCACAATCTATTTTCTACGTTGAACACGGTTAATTGCTTTTGTTTTGGGTTTCTAAGCGCTGCTCTCCACTAGTTCTACTGCATTTGCTGCAGCGATTCTGTTATTGCGTTTTTAATTTGTTCTACAATTTTTTGCAACCAGCAGTGAATGAGTAGTAAAATAGTGTGGCCAGTTGGCAAATATAAAACGTGCTTAAACTTACCACGATGCGGGATATCACTAAAAAATCCAGAATTCCGTTAGATTCAAAAAAATGTTCTAAATGTTTTTTAACGAATGAAAAACTATTTTTTTCCTCTGCACTTTTACACTTCTGGGGTTTACCTTGTTAAAATACTAATTTCGATTTATTCGTTAGTTGTAAATACATAATCATATATGTCGGCGTACATATGCGTGTAGTTGTGTATATGTTAATATTTTAAGTAAACTTAATAGTACAAATGAAAGACAACGAGATGAGAAAGCAATAATTACTTTGGGATAAGCGAACCGCACAGAATTCTCAATACATTGCTCGGCGGCGGCGCCGGATCCTACTTCTTCTTGCTTTTTCCAAGGGTGAGAGTGTGGTGGGCGGTGGCCAACTGCTGTTTGCGTCGTTGGAAGTCAAGGTAGTCCTCCTCGAGCGCCTTGCGCGACTCCTCCAGCTTGCGCTTCTCCTCGGCGTGGTCCCGCTTCAGTTTCTCGAACTTGGCGTGCAGGTCCTTCTCGCTCTCCTTCAGCTCAGCCTCCTTTTCCTTGACCCGTTGCACGAACATCTGGCGCACCTCCTCCTCTTTGGACTGCAGTTCGGCCAGGTGGTTGGAGCGCTTGGCCTCGAACGTCTGCTGGAACGAGATCGGCTTATTGTCGCTGTCCACGTCGCTGAAGCCCATCTGCTCCAGTCGTTTCTGACGATACAGCTCGTAGTGCCGCGTGTGAGTCTTCTCGCGCATGTCCTCCATGTTGGTGCGAATAAGCATTTCGCGCAGCTTCACAAAGTCACAGTGCGTTTCGTTCTCCACCTGGACCGTACCCCAGGGATACTGGCGAGCGCGGATCAACTTATTGCCCACCTTAATGAACTCCGTGCTGCCGACCACGGCGAAGGGAATGTGCGAATTCATGCTGGTATTTGTCTCGGCCACCGTCTCGTCGTCAGTGGGGAACTGATAGATGTGCACTCCATTGCTGTTCAGCTCCTGTATGATCTTGGCCTTGAAGCGCTGCAGCTCCACCTTGGAAATGGTATCGGCCTTGGCAATCACCGGAATGATGTTAACCTTGCTGTCCAACTTCTTCATGCACACTAGATCCAGCGACTTGAGGCCGTGCCCGGTGGGGCAGATGAAGTACAGGCAGATGTGGATGCGGCTGTCGTGGCACGAAACCAGCGATCGCTTGATCTTCAGCTCTTCCTGCAGATAGTTCTCGAATTGGGCATCGATGTAGTCCACCACCGCCTTGAACGAGTCGTCCTTGTTGATCTGGTCGCCATAGCCCACTGTGTCGCAAATGGTCAGCTTGAGCCGCACATTGCTCTCCTGTAGCTCATAGGTGTGTGCCTTCAACTTTACGCTGGGCAGCGTGTGGGGACTTGGCGTGGACTCGAAGCTCGTATTAAACAGCGTGTCCATAAGCGTCGACTTGCCCAGTCCCGTCTCGCCTGCGGAAAGGGGGAAGATGGGAGGTCAGATTGGTGTCAGATTCGGGGGAACCATAGCCCAAGTGGGCTCAATTGGCCGCAGAAGCACTGCGGCATTGGTGTCAGGGTGAAATTGTAGAAAGCAGCGGGGGAAATCGATTGCCGGCCACTCCGCATACTAATCGTGGCTGGGCGTCTGGTTAAGGCATTTCAATTGTTTACCCACATATATTTAGGTGATTCACTTTATCTGAGCAATGCACTCCAATATCAGGCACTTAAGTACACAACGCAGCAGAGGTCAAAGTAATAGCACTAAGGGAGTCGAAGATTTTTCATTAATGAAAAGTTAAAATTAAAGATCTTGCCACGACTTTAAAGGCAACTTATACTTCCATAATTTTTGCAATTGCTGTTGTAATTCTATAACTGCCATTGATCTTTAGTAATCTCTATTTCAAGAAACGTTGATGCATTTTTATAATTCGATTGTTACAAACTTGATTTCGATTTCCAAAAAGACTGAGAAATAATTAAAAAGAAAAATATACTATTACGGTTAATGATTTTCTAAAATCAGTGCTACTTCTTTGGCCGTTACTGTTTTTACATGCAAGTAAAACTTCGGTTGATTCACTGTGCCGCATACACACACATGGAAACTGCACCCGCATATACACACCTATACACATGACGTTAAAGACGAATCCGTTCTGGACACTCTTGTTGACCAATTGGTCCGGGAGGCTGTCGAATCCCACATGGCCAGACTGCTTCAGATTACGGAGGTGCACCTCCTTTTTGTTGACGAAATCCACTTCGGCGGACATATTTTCCAATAATCAAAAGTATCGCGCAAAGGCGTCGCCAGCGAGTCTCGAGAAGTATGACCGGATGCCTGGTATAGCAAAATACCAGAGGCTCAGAAATATGGGTAAACTCAATTTACCCCTGGAGATGAAATAATTTGAGCCAATATATAAATAATATATTATTTATTATATATTTCAAATTAAAACTACCTCTAAAAAACATGAAGAAACTTTACAAAGTTGACGTATTTTCGTTTCAATCAGCTGGTAACACTGCAAAAAACGAAGAAGAATTAAAATCAAAATATGAGCGCACGGAAGGTAAAAAATTTGAATTTTTTGGATTTAAAAAGTAAATAAAATAAAATTAATGCTTTAGAAAACCTGGGTGAGATGCGCCTTCAGCGAGATGAATATGACAGCAAGTCCAGTTCCTTTGGAAGCCACTCCGGCCAAGCGCACAAGAAGTTCAGGCAATGTGAGCACCAGAATTTCTAGGTCCCAAAGCGGAAAATCAACGCCAACACAAATTCAGGAAGTAGAATCCGTGGACCTTACCGCCTTAGAAGATGACCAGGATGCGGATAGCACAGGCCCGCCACCGGAAGTCAAGGCAAACTGGATGGAGAGATTTGCGCCTGCCACCAGCGAAGAGTTAGCCGTGCATCCCAAGAAGATTGGAGAACTTCGCGATTGGCTGCGTCACTGTGAGGCGGTGCAAAAAAAGTTCCCCGCTCAAATGTGTCTACTTACGGGACCCACTGGAGCTGGCAAAACAGCAACGTTGCGTGTCCTAGCCAATGAGTTCGGCTTCCAGGTGCAGGAGTGGATCAATCCTGTTGACTGCGAGGTGGTCAATGCCTTGGGCGATCAGCCGAGTGGATGTTCCTACGTGGGCTCCCACCTTGAGGCTTTCAAGAGCTTCCTACTGCGCGCCTCGCGATACAAATCTCTGCTGGACTCGCACAACAAGAGACTGCTCCTCGTCGAAGACTTTCCTAATGTTTTGCTTAGCGATAAGGAGGCCAACTTTGAGGAGTTACTAGAGTAGGTCAAATTACTTTAATTTATGAAAGCACTTTTCTAATAACAACTTCTTCCCTATTTAGTGAATACTCCAACTACGGCAAATCCCCACTGGTATTCATCGTGGCTGATGCGAAATCTCGGGGCTTGAACATTAGCTACCGCCTTTTTCCGGATCAACTTAAGGCCAAACATCGCATCGAGCACATCAGCTTCAATTGTATTGCATCTACAATTATGCAAAAGGCGATGAAAGCCTTTTGCTCCGTGATGCAACAGCCGCAAAATAAGTCTACTTACAAGATACCCTCGTCCTCTGTTGTTGACTCTATTGTTGTGGGCGCCCAGGGCGATATTAGAAATGCACTGATCAATTTGCATCTCAGCTCCTTAAAGGGAGTTGCCAGCATGCCCACCAAGCAGTTAAATGTCAGTGTAGTTACCAAGGGACGCAAAAAGAAAACGCAAAGCACTCTAAAGTCTATTGGTAGAGATGAATCTATAACTTTGATGCACGCATTGGGAAGAGTGTTGAATCCTAAGTGTAAGTCACATAATGCAACATCTGTTTAAATCATTAACCATTGAATTTTTCAGTTAACGAGGACAAACGCGTGCTGCACAGCCCTGAGGAAATAACTGAAGCTTTTAACACAGAACCAAGGAATTTTGTAAACTTCATACATGCCAATTATCTGCCACATTTTAAAAACATAGAGGATGTCGTGGCCGCCATAAATGACTTGGGTCTGTCAGATGCTATGCTTGATGAGTATCGTGACAATTCTTTGCCCACAATGGGTCTTAACATTGCTATAAGGGGTGTTATGCTGGCCAATAGTTCCCCTGTCAGCGGTTGGATGCCAGTTCGAGGACCTAAGCGAATTAATATACAATCACAGGCCACATTGGCGGAACAAAGACTAGTGGGTGTGGGTTACTCGGGCATTTCTAAATCGCTTTATGCCACCGAATACAGCTCCTTTGTGAAGTGCATAGCTGGCAAACTTTCGGACTCCCACTCAAGCCAAAGTACAGACTCTATTTAAGCTTAGCATTTTAGTGAAATTTAAGAATACATTTGAATAAGTTTATTTATCTATTGTTAAATCTAAAACCAGAATTTGCAGAAATAAATTTTTGAAAAGACATCCTTGGGATATATTAAAAAAGAATTCAGAAGAAACCAAATTTCAAACCGTGTTTACATACTAAAACCGAAAAAAATAATGTTTTGTTAAGTTTATATGCATTACTTGCCTCGGAAATAAGAATTAATAACCAAAATTATTCGAATTCACGATTTAACTTTTTATTTACCTACAAATCGAGTTTTCATTATATAAAATGTCATTAAAATCATTAACGCGTCGAGCCAACATCTTGAAGAATTGTATACAACGCTGTACAACAAATTATAGTTGGAGACATTGTATGCAGATAATAAAATAATGCTAATGCCTTTAATGAATGATGAACTGATGATTCAAATGAAGTCTACTTGCTTGGGGCGCCCACAGATGACTTAAAAAATAAACAAGGTTTCTGTCCATATGTTGCCACATTCTACCACAATTGAGTCTTCTATTTACACAGGGCGGAGTGATCCACTCCAGCCTATTTGACGGCTGCATCGCCTGGCTTCGGGATATCGCTGGAGTTGTCGTCTTCGTCCATTTGATTGCCGTCAAGCAGACGCTGTCGCTCTTCCTCGTTGGCGTGGCCATTATTCAGATGGATCGGCGATCTGGATCTGGAGCGTGTACGGCTCCGCTCGTGCCGCTCGGCATGCCCGTTGGCAATATTCAGCCCGGCAACGCCCATCTCGTGGCCATCACTGCTGCTCGAGGAAGTGCTGGAAGTTGTGCTCGACGTGGTGCTGCTGCTGTCGCTCTCGCTGTCCTCACTGGAGGAGTCCATTGGTGTGGGTTGGGGCTGCTGCGCAGGCTGTTGTCTGGCTTGCAGTTCGCAGGCGGAGCTTGGCGTGGGCGCCACCGCCGAGGGCGGGGAGGCAGCGGCCGCTGCTGCTGCCCCCGGTCCTGCTGTCGTCGACGACGAGCGCAAGAAGTGGGAGCGCAGAACTGCAAGAAGTAACCAGAATTGTTTTAAGTATGTGAAGGTATTAAAAAAAAATGTGCTCTCCATTGAGTTCATAATATCATCTTAAAAACAAAAGAAGAATTCAAAGAAATGTGCGACCTGATGCAGAGTTTTACTAAAAATAGTTTAAAATTTCTGAAGAAAGTTCTATGCAAGTTTTACTATATAATATAAAATTTAATTGCTTAAATTAATATGTGACACCACTCACATTGATTCTCCCTAGTCAGCTGGCGCATTTTTTCTTCCTGCGTTCGTATTTTAGCGCTAAATTCCTTGGAGATATTCTGAGCCTTGGAATACCGATCCTCGATCTGCAGGCACTCCTGGATAAGCTCTTGCTTGCTCATAGTTTCCAGGCGTTCGAGTCGCGCTCGTTCGTAGACATTGGAAAACTCCTTGGACAGAAAAAGCACTTGGTCCTCAGCCTGCGAACCAAAGCAGTTGTCGTCGGAGTCGTCCTTGGGCACCTCCGACATGTGCTCCTCCATCAGAAAGCGATTGGTGTTGTATGGAACGAGCAAGGATCGCGAGCGGACCAGCTTGGTGCGACTGTTCTGGCGGATATTTCCCTCTGTTCCCGCACCCGTTGTCATATCGAGTTTCCACTGTGGATACTGATTTTTGGTTTTCTTGGGCAACATCTTGGACTTTTTGCCCCGGCGATGCTTCCTTTTGGGCATTCCTGTGCCACCTCCTCCGCCACTTCCGCCTCCGCTGCCACCTCCTCCCCCACCATCCAAGGGTCGCTGCTGGGCACCACTTTCTAAAAAAAAAAAAAATATGGAAAACAAATTTAAATTGTAGCCGCCAAAAAATGGGAAATGCAACCCTGTCAAGCGCAGTGGCAAATAAGAAAAAAAAAACAATATAATAAGACAGTCGCCATTTGTCGCTTGCCTTTTGAAGCACTACCAGAGTGCCAATTTTTACCTTTTTTCACAGCTTCTGCCATGATGCCAACACAATTATAAGTTTTTCAATCACTAAGTTAACACTTTCAGCGCTATTTTGAATTTTTTTTCGCGAATCTATAAGCTTGCGAAATTTATTCTTAGCGACTAAAACTCGGATGCAGTTTGGCCAGGTGCTGCCAGCTGAATTGCACCAAACGTTCTCCGCTTAACGCTTGCCGAAATCTCCGGTTTGCGACCACATTGAATCTGGGCGCTAAACTTAAAATCAAATCATTCAGTGAACTATAAATGCAATTTTTTTAATTTAACTTCATTTTTTTTATTTTTTCGTTACTTTTTAAGTCAGTCCTGTAAAGCACTTAAGCCTATATTTATTGTGGGAAACTAGTATTGTGTTTTCTTGTTTGAGTTCTACCATTTTAATATGTTTTTAAAATATTTGTGCAGTCCTGTTTTATAAGCTTAGCTATTTTTTCCCAATCTGAAATGTATTATTTAAGTAATGTTTTTAAAATCCTTTATAATTCTTTAATCTGGTGAAAAGGGTAAGGGTGTTAAATATACAAATTCAGTGTAATACACTTGGTTTTACAAAAAGGATACGTTTACACGATAGATACATATTTATAGCCAAATTTTCTTACCCAAGGTGACAACCCTGCCAAAGAGCGCGAGCGGTGACGAGTGGACAGCGCTGCAACAAAAATCAATAGTCGCCGCCATATTTTTTCACTCGACTCACAGACCAACGCGCTACGGACACCCGAATAATGTTTAGTTAAATAAGATAATTAAGATTAGCCAAAGTTGAAAGTGCATCAAGTACGTTGCAGAGCAGTGACCAAGTGACCCATCGGTAGAAGCAATCCCCTGTCGCTAGCATAAAACCGCTTAATTGCCAGTCTCCGGCATCCGAGCACTCTTCCTCCGGCTCCTGCAGTCTTAAAATCAAAGTTTGATTCCAAAGGCTCTCAGTGCCAGTGCTAGTGCGCGTGTTCCAGCGTGCTATATAATCCAGCCAGGAAGATGGAAGGATCCTCAGTTTCCTCCCCTTCGATGGGCGGCCCACGTGGAGGAGGTTTCCGCGGCCGCGGAGGTGGAGCGCCCATGCGAGGTAGCTTCGATCGTGGTCGTGGTCGTGGCGGACGCGGCCACTACATGGGTGGCATGCGCGGAGGCGGTGGCAGCGGAATGGGCGGGGGACCGCCTATGCAAGGAATGATGTCTGGTCCTCCACGGGGCATGCGTGGTTCTCGCGGCGGGATGGGATACCAGGGACGCGGTGGTGGCTATCAGCCGCGCGGTGGAGCTCCCATGGGCATGCGCGGCGGACGCCCTCCCTTGTACTCGCAGCGTAAGTTCATTATCCGGCCCCTTGACTCCCAACCGCACCTTGTAAATCCAATCCAATCCAATCTAGCTCCCAAACAACACACAGGTGCCGACAACAACAAGACTGTCTCACCAGTGCCCACTTCGGCAATCAGTGGAGAACAGCCATCGGTTGAGGCAGCCGGGGATGAGGTCTCCGATGGCCAGACATCATCCGGCGTTGCCCCCTCGAGCAACTCGCATGGCGGCGGTTCCTCAGGAGGTGGAAGCAATGGTGGAGGACCTCCTCCATATCTGGGCCGTGGTCGTGGACGTGGCGGTCCCTTCAGTGGACGCGGACGCGGCGGTGGAGGCTACAATTCTCACATGAACGGCAGCGGAGGCAGCAGTATGTACGGCGGCTCCCACAGCCACCACAGCAACTCCCTGGGCGGTGGTCCGGGCGGAGAGCACGGCTCGATGCCCAGGCGCGGAGCCCCGCGCGGCAGGGGCGGCTACAATCAAGGTATGAGTCGGTCACCCTTGCATCACCATCAGGCACATAATCCCAATACACAACTCGCACCGGTACCAGCTCTCAAACGCGGCGCTCCCGGTGGTCCTGGTCCCAAGAGAGGTCGCTACGAGGGCGGTCCCTACGGCCAACGGCCCATGACGCCCAAGTACCACTCCACCCAGCAGCACATGGGCGGAGGCGGAGGCGGCGGCATGTCCTCGCAATCCTCATATGGCTCGCCGCCAAGTCATCATGCGCCAACTCAGAGGTAAGTTATGAAATTTTACAGGGTTTTATTATTGCACTCCTCTTTTTGTTTTCAATTAAATTCTATGAAAGGGGTCTAAGTTTTTAAATTTCTAGTTTACATTAGCTGCATTTTGGGTATACATAAACAAACCTAGTTAGATTGCCAGCTTATAAATAAATAAACCCTTTTTCATACAGCCACCACAGCTACCAGACCCACGAGCAGACTCAACAAGTGGATCCGTACGCGCAGAGCGGCTACAGCACCCAAACCACTCAGCAGGGATACAATGGTTATGGTCAGAGCGGCGGCAGCAGCTATGCAGCTCACACCTCTCAGACAAGTGCTCCGGCCAGCAGCAGCTATGCGGCCCACCACGGCACTGAGTACGATCAGAGCCAGTATCAGAACTACAAGTGGGTTACCTGTTTTTGACTCTCATTTCGCCTCCAAATGAGCTCAGCCGATGCTAATGTACCGATTTGTGTCTCTCAGCAGTTCGACAGCTTATGCCGCCCCGCAGGATACGCGCTATCAGTCGTATAGCCAGGATTACAGCCAGCAGTACGGTTCGACTGCCGTGGACTACAATGCCACCGGACAAGCGGACTACAGCCAGCACGGACAGCAAAGCGCTGGCTATGATGAGCGCGCTTATGCGGGTTATGGTAAGTGATTTCAGTGCACTCCAGTTGCGTCATCCGTCATCGGTGTCTCCTTGCAGATTCGCAGGCCTATTCGCAGAACTATTCAAATGCAGCCGCCTACTACTAGACAACCGCAATCCACCCCCACCCCTGACGGCACACTAGAGATCAGAACGCTGCGCGTGCTCCGATAGGCCAAGAAACCAAATTAAAAATGGATTAGGGCAGACAGAAATCGAGTAACAGGAAGGGAATCTATGTTTAATGCAGCAAATAACTTGCTATACATAATACACAACACAAACGCGGACACTCAGAACATACAATTTTAGTTGTAAGGATACAGTTCTCTTTTTCTTAGCATTTAAGCCAACTCGTGTTGCGACGTCTTTCTATATAAACCCCCTGCCCAAATTATTTTTTCCATTTGTTTTCGTTTTGTCTCCCCATAAATCCTGATCGAAAATATTGAAAATATCTGCATTACCTGTTGTTTAACGTTTTTTAATAGACAACCGGAGCTAGCCTGCACTGAGCTCCAGTATAAAAAACCCTTTATGTGCTCCTTAGATTCATGTACAATTACAATTCAACTGTGACCAAAGTATGCAAAAATCATATTTTTTATATGACTGGAAAGCACGAGTACATACATGATCTTTTTGATGAACTAAACTAAATTTAAAAATTGTGTGAATCATGTCAAATTGTATACAAATGAATGCAATGTATATTTTAGTTGTTAAGCTCAGAACCGCAAACGACTCTCGACACACAAAAAGATGATTTCCAATCCCACATACTCTTGAAAAGCGTTTATGATTTTGCAAGAATTTGTTTTTCTTTTCTTTACCATCTTGACGTGAATGACAGAAGCCAAACTTATTATTTTCATTTTGTTTATACAAATTTATTTCTTATAGCCACAATTTAAGCAACTAAATTTCGTAATTATGTAACTCTTTAAAAACTAAGCTGAGAAAAACAAGTACGAAATACACTAAATATATTAGCAAAAGATGCAAAAATCATAACCATTATCAAAGTCAATAAAATAATGTTAAAAAATGTGTTTAATGCATTAAACTTATTTAAGCGTATATATTATTATTTAAATATTTTGTTTAAAAAATATCAATCAGTAAGAATGCAAATAATTAAGCAACAATTAAAAGTCGAAAACAGAGTGAAAAATATAAAAATCGAAAGACTGAATATATTTACGAACCGAGCCAGCACTGCAAGCATACAATTCATAAAATATCAGAGATAAAAGAATGAAACAACAAAAAAAGTATTAAGTATTTACGAAACAATTACAAAGTACTACATGCAAAGAACAAATAAACCCCAAGCCAATATTAAAGTGCCAAGTATGAACAAAAACATTCAGGATAAATCTCTAAAAAATACATATGATGAAATGCGTTTCGAAATTTCTACGAAATCAGTCAATCAATAATCAATATAAGGAATTCGCGAAAATATCGAGAATGTTCCAAACGATTGAGCCAATAATTAAATTAAAACAAAAGCACTGAAAGTACAAACATAAAAATATGAAATTTTCAAACATATTTTGGTAAGTTAAGGTTGAAGCCAAAAAAAAATTTTAAAAAGCTTTTAGCATATGTAGAACTCAGCATGCAATCATTTTTAAATAACAAAAGTAATAACATTTGTCTGTATTTTTTAATTACAACAAATTTTTCAAGTCGAAGTCGTTTTAGTGATTATATATATTATAAAAATACAACTAATAAATTATACAAATCAGAGTTTTGTAAAGCTCGAACTTTTTTTGATGTAAAATCTTTTCTATAAATGTTTAAATAGTAGCTGCTGAGTCCTTCATACATGAAAATGCGGCCCGTTTGCCGCGTTTCCCATTTGAACTGTAGCATTTAGTTGTTTTTTTACAGGAATGAAAAATCATTATTAACAAAATAAGAGCGTTAAAACGTTTATCAAATCTGAAGGAAACGAACAAAAATGGATATGTCAGTGATGGTAATCTCAAAACAAACAACTTAAAAGACCAAGTAAAAAAAACAAAGAAACCAAAGAGATTATGAATCTATAAAGTATTTTGTTTTAAATGTTGCACTTTTATGTTATTTATATATTTTTGTTTATGTTTAAAATGATTTTATTTGTTATAGTTAAGACAAATCGAATACCATAATTCCAGTCTTATAAAGACCGAGTTAAGAGAATATAAAAATGAATATTGATTGAAAAGACTGAATGATATTTCAAAGAGATAAAATCTCAATAGAAACAAAAATGAAATCAATAAATTTATACAAAATATATATATATATATATATATTAGAATCCGTTCTAAATGATAGTTAAATACATAACAATACTTTTAGTTTGAATTTCTCAATAATTTATTTAATCAAAATTTAACTAACATTCTCCAAAAAAACATACAGAAACCCCTCAAGATGAATACCTAACAAAATATTCCCACAGTGGAAAAAGGCTTAAAAGAGAGTCCAATATATTTGGAAATACAATAAATTATCAAAAAATCAGAAAATAAGCGAACAGACAAAGAAAATCATTTGCGGTTGTCATTTTTTTTTATTTACAAGCTTTTGCATTTTATGCATATGCATAGAAATCAGAAAACCGCATTATTTCACGTTTTTGTGTCAATTTGATTTAAAATATTCTATTATTTGTTTAGTTTTTTATTGATTTAATAAAAGAGTTAAAAATGGCAAATATAATTTAATCCAAACATGCAATTAAATGGAAACTTTTAACTTTTTCAGAGCAAGAAAAATATTGAAAATCAAAATATAACCCAATGGAGCGAAAGTATCTGCGCACTGTGGGACCCATTGACCAAATATGTTTTTACAAAATATATTTCATCTGGTTATCAAGAGCATACAAAGGAATAAACGTTTGATGAAGTTCTTATAAACTTTCAGAAATACATAAGTTCCTTCCGTAACTATAGGATATAAACCTCATAGAATTGCACTATATATTATAATTAAATTTTAAAATTCAATTAAAAGTTGATAAATAAAAACCAGCTATTAGGAATCTCTTGACTATTATCATTTTTAATATTCGGTAATGACGTAAAAGAACTTGTTATTCAGTTATTTTCTATTTAAAAAATAAATTAAACTTATGTAAAGGATTAGGGAAACTGTCGAAACTTAAAAGTTGAAATATATATTGTATTTTCACTTGTTTAATGTATAATAGGTCGAATACCTATTCAAATTTATGCAAATTCGGTAATAATTCTTGAACCAACTTATAATTCAGAGATAAATTTCTATTAAATATTTTTTATAATTTAGTTGAATACAGAATAAATAGAATGTAGTGAAAAATTTACTTGCCAATATTAATTTTAATGGTCGATTTAAAATAAATTCCAAAAAACCATTAATAAACAAATCTGTTAAAAAATCTTTAGAATGTCTTTTATTCCTTCATTGAAAAAAATCAATAAAGAAGAACCCTATAACTATAAAAAAATTAAATATTCTTTAAAACGACTATATTTTGATTTTGATACGTACATGCTTAAAAACTTTTGTTGATTTCCTTTGAAATTTGTATACCCTTGCAGAGGGTATTAGAATTTCAGTCAAAAGTTTGCAACGCAGTGAAGGAGACATTTCCGACCCTATAAAGTATATATATTCTTGATCAGCATCACCAGGAGAGTCGATCTAGCCATGTCCGCCTGTCCGTCTGTCCGTTCGTCTGTCCGTCCGTCTGTCCGTTTCTACGCAAACTAGTCCCTCAGTTTTAAAGATATCTGCTTGAAACTTTCCCAAAAGTTGTCTTTCCATTGCAGAAGACTTTTGAAAAACTTTCACTGAAAAAACTTTTGAAACTGAGACACCAGTTGCATCGAAACGGACAGACGGACATGGCTAGATCAACTCTTCTGGTGATGCTGGTCAAGAATATATACTTTGTGGGGTCCAATGTGTATCCTTTGCTACGATGCTAACTTTTGTCTGAAATTATAAAACCCTCAGCAAGGGTATAATTTTTAAAAGTAACAAAATAAATTCATTCAAAACGTTAAAATAATAGTTTTGAATGAATTTATTTTGTTACTTTGAAAATTATTTAAGTCATTTATTTAATGTATTGTATTTTATTATATGTATTATTTTGTTATATAAAATATATTTTAATATTTTTAGCATTTGTAAAGACATCAGAATTATCCCAATTTTTTAAGTTTCCACACATCCACCATATTCCTAACAAACCAATATTAAATATAAGCCAATTTAAATTGCATTTTGTCATGCATTGACACGTTGAGAGGAAAAGTTTGTCTTTATTTAAAAAGTTAACAGAATTATGGATTGGATTTTAAAACAATTGTTGGTTATTTAATAATAGTGCTTCATGCTAGGGAAATATGTGTGAGATATTTAGACTGTATCAAATATGTATTATTTGTTTATATAACATTAATGAAATCCACAAAGGGAAATACAAAAAATTAAAACCAAGGGATCAACTTTCATAACGTTTCGGGGGTCATTGAGTATGTACAAATAGGTATTCGAGTTTTTATATAAACATTTGACACATCAATTCTATTTAATGAACTAGAGAGCTTCCAATTGATTAAAGTTCTGAGTTTCCATAGATAACATTTACATAATTATGTTGAAGACGTCAAAATAGTTTTGTGCTTTGGGTGAACAGAAACGATGTCGCCGCTTGTGGTCAAGGTCCAATGTCGTTGTCGCAATTTAAGTATGGTCTGCAATGGAATCCTTCGAGTCATGTCCTTAACGACGTTTGCCAAAGCGCAGGAAGACGTGATCGACATCCGTACGTTTGTTGTAGTTCTTCAGAAGGTCGTCGGAGTTGGCCACCAGAGCTGCAATTAATCAAAAATATTTTTTTAAACATTAAAGTTATTTTTTACATTTAGTGTGTGAAGACTGTTTTTTCTTTAAGTAATCATTTAATTTTTTTATGTTTTCATTTTTTAATTTCATTTTAATTTTTAATGCGCTACAAGGTTAATCCTTACTAAAAAATTCGTATTTTAATTTTTTAATAAGTTTTCTTATGACATTTAAGAAATCTATTCAGTAGAATGGTACTTACCGGATGCCTCGTTGTTGATGTAGGACTTAAGGGCCGTTGTGAGTTGATCAGAGTTCTCCAGAGCCTGGCAAACCTTCCGGATGTGCGGGGGCATCTCCTCGATGATGCCGGCCTGGCAAAGAGGAGGACCCTGGGTTGCAGCCCCAGTGGTGGCCACGGCCAGCAGGACGATGGCCAGACAGCAGGCGACAAAGAACTGTGCGAAGGACATGCTGCAAGTGGGTTCACAAATGAGCGGGTAGCATGATTGACATTGTTAGCTGGTCTCGCTCTTATTAGATTATCGGCAGCAAAGGTTGCCCAGCAAGGACACCATCTACAAATTCATCTTGGCTGGAGGGCGCCTTATCCCATATCCCATCCGACCCCACTGATTTTGATTAAGTGTAATGATCTTAATGCTACGTGCCTGATTGCCACTCGCTGATGGTGGCGTTGCCATGGCAAAGTATTATGCATAAATGGAGTTGTACTTAGATGCAGGCTCGCGACGGAGTTTCCATTTTATATCCCATCCAAGCAGACGAGCTTAATGCTACCCTAATATGTTTACGTGGCAGACAATTTGTTTCTATTAGCTGAGGAAGGTAGCGTCAATCTGTTCAGCGTGACCTCCTCTGATGATGATTACGATGATGAAAGTGGAGGTATCACTCATACGACCCGTTGCATTTGGCATGCAAACACCTGTGCAAGGTGTGACATATGCGAACGTGTTGCTCCTTCGACTGTTTAGCTTAGAAAACCAACACCGAAACTCGGGAGGAGGAATGAGGAGGGCGGTGCCAAATGGGGAATGTGCGTAGGGCACGTTCCAAGGATCCGAACTGCTGTTGCTTGTTAAGGGATCAACTAAGGTGCACACATGCAAATCAATTGCATTTGTTTGCTCACTAAACAGACAATTTATTGCGCAACAGTTTGATGGCAAAATTTATTGAATGAAATCCAAAGCTTTTTGACTGTTATTATTTAATTAAATTCCCAGTCAATATGGTTTTACTTGGAAAACTTATTGAAAAATATGGATTCTATCTACTAGTTTCTAGAATTTTTTATTTTTTAATACAAGAACATATTTAAGAATTGAAAAAAAAAGTTTGTTGTATTTTATATAATAAAAAAATTATAAAAATGAATTATCCGTATTTCTGTTTGAATACTTGCTATCGGTTTTCGGAAGAGGTTTTAACATCTGGTTATTTTTATTATGAAAAAGTTTTCATTGTAAAATTATTGGTCAAGCATGATTAAAAAAACATAACTGTAGATCAAATTCCCAATTTTATTACCAATTTTTAAAAAACATTTTGGGGCTCAAAAAAATAATAAAAACCAAGGTACATTTTAAATTTAGATCTGATAAATCGACATTTCAGTTTAAAAGAGATATTTAAAAACTAAAGGTATCCTTTTTTTAAGACAACTACTGCGTAAAATAATTTAATGTGTCGGAATTTTAAGCGTTCTATCCTATTTTGTATTTAAGTCCATAGATTAACTTGAAGTCCAATCAGTAAATATACTTTTTAAGTATCCAACACTTTGCACGTCTTAAGAAACAAGTACCAACCTTATAGATGCTTTGAGATTTAGATGCTTTCACAAAGAAATTTAGATATAAACTTGGTAGTTTTTGTCACCGGAATTCAGCTGCTGCTCCGTTTGCTAGACTTGTTGAACGCAAGCACTCGAATGATGTCCTGTCCAGCCAGGACATCCGCTTTTATTTACTTCCGCCGAGGACGAGCGCAGATGGCGCCGTGGCCTGTGATTGGCTGACTGGGACACACAGGCACACGGGGGTTCGCGAACAGGAGTCGGGGGACCACATGTTGCGCTCCTGCCAGGACACTTGGTGGGCGTGCTCAAACATCACTCATACGCCACCGACACCGACCAGAGCACGATGCGCCGCTCAATGTGTGCACTTGGCAAACTTTCGCCGGAAACCCACCGAGTTGCCCAATATGTTTATCTATTATATAAGTTTATCAGCTCTTAATTATGTTGTAAAAGTTGCCGCTTTTATGATCAGTGGCCGGCAACCATCACCTATTTATAGGTAGTTATAATCATTTATGGCCCATCGAACGTTTACTGTCCGTCCCACGGATCTGCTTTAAGCCCCAACTTTAAAGCCACTGCAGTTTGCTCCACCGATGCGTAAGCAGAGTAATCTTCCCTTTATGAGACTGGGATTTGCAGGCGAAGCGTTGCAATTAATTTGAATTTGTGCGTGTTTCGCATGCAAAATCCCTTGATAAGAATTTCGACTGTGACGTCAGGCACTCATCTTGGCCATCTTGGTGGGGCATAACTCAAATGCAGATGTAACCACAGTTGAGTCGGTGAAAATTCGAATTAACCAAGAAGAAAATCTAATTCGTTTGCCTTTTATGTCGTTAGCGTGACTAATGGCGAAATGAAAGAAGAAAAAGGAAAAAGGCAGTCATTTGTTGTGGAAACCACTAAAACCGTATTTAATATTATTTTATTTAATAAAAGATTCAATATTTAACAAAATCTAACATTACATAACATTTTATGCAGCTGTGAAAAGAAATAAATAATTAGCTTTTATAAAAACCTTCAAATAAAATCTTAGCATATTTTAAATATTTTTGAAGCCCACTAGATCTGATAAAGCAATAAATAATCATTGACAAGTTTCTTACTACTACTTATTACTGTGATATATATTATAAATTAACTTCTTTAAATTAAAAATGCTGTATAATGGGTCTTGTTTTTACGTTTGTATATATTATTATACCCGTTACTCGTAGAGTAAAAGGGTATATTGTATTCGTGCAAAAGTATGTAACAGCTAGAAGGAAGCGTTTCCGACCCTATAAAGTATATATATTCTTGATCAGGGTCACTAGCCGAGTCGATATAGCCATGTCCGTCTGTCCGTCTGTCCGTCTGTCTGTCCGTCTGTCTGTCCGTCTGTCTGTCTGTCTGTCTGTCTGTCTGTCCGTATGAACGCTGAGATCTCGGAAACTATAAAAGCTAGAAGATTGGCATTTGCATGCAGATTCTAGGAGTTCCTACGCAGCGCAAGTTTGTTTCAAAAAGGTGCCACGCCCTCTTTAACGCCCACAATAGCTTATATACGATTTTAAAAATTTAAATATTTCGGAAAAGTAAAAATGCAGTTTTATTGTGTTTATCAATACCTATCGAAATGTAGAAGAAATTTTTCAAATCGGACCATTCGTTAAAAAGTTATGCGTGATCAAAGTTTCTGTCTCCATCTCCCTCGCACTCCCTTTACCTGAGTAACGGGTATCTGATAGTCGGGGCACTCGACTATAGCGTTCTCTCTTGTTATACCCTTGCAGAGGGTATTATAATTTTGGTCAAAAGTGTGCAACGCAGTGAAGGAGACATCTCCGACCCTATAAAGTATATATATTCTTGATCAGGATCACCTCCTGAGTTGATATAGCCATGTCCGTCTGTCCGTCTGTCCGTCTGTCCGTCTGTCCGTCTGTCTGTTTCTACGCAAACTAGTCTCTCAGTTTTAAAGCTATCGGATTGAAACTTTGCACACACCCTTCTTTCCTTTGCACGCAGTATATAAGTCGGAACGGCCGGGATCGGCCGACTATATCCTATAGCTGCCATATAACTGATTGATCGGAAATGCCATAACTTTCGTGTTTGTGAAGTTAGGAAGTTGGGATTTTCTATGGGTTTTATATTTGGCCAATCAATCCGACCTACCAAATTTCATAAGGATCGGCCGACTATATCCTATAGCTGCCATATAACTGATTGATCGGAAATGCCATAACTTTGGTGTTTGTAAAGTTAGAAAGTTGGGATTTTCTATGGGTTTTATATTTGGCCAATCAATCCGACCTACCAAATTTCATAAGGATCGGCCGACTATATCCTATAGCTGCCATACAACTGATTGATCGGAAATGCCATAACTTTGGTGTTTGTAAAGTTAGAAAGTTGGGATTTTCTATGGGTTTTATATTTGGCCAATCAATCCGACCCACCAAATTTCATAAGGATCGGCCGACTATATCCTATAGCTGCCATATAACTGATTGATCGGAAATGCCATAACTTTGGTGTTTGTAAAGTTAGGAAGTTGGGATTTTCTATGGATTTTATTTTTGGCCAATCAATCCGACCTACCAAATTTCATAAGGATCGGCCGACTATATCCTATAGCTGCCATATAACTGAACGATTGGAAATGCCATAACTTTGTTGTTGTTAAAGTTAGGAAGTTGGGATTTTCTATGGATTTTATTTTTGGCCAATCAATCCGACCTATCAAATTTCATAAGGATCGGCCGACTATATCCTATAGCTGCCATATAACTGAACGATTGGAAATGCCATAACTTTGTTGTTGTTAAAGTTAGGAAGTTCGGATTTTTTATGAGTATTAAGAATGCATCATATGAATAATTTTGGAGAATATAATTTACAGAGTATTCTGCAAGGGTATATCAACTTCGGCTCCGCCAGAAGTTAGCTTTCCTTTCTTGTTTTTATTCTAATATGTTTTACATGTTTGTTTTAAATGAATAGCATTTAGGGAAATATGGCCTCTAATTATATCCTTATTTAATGTAATTTATTACAACAAATTTATAAATGTGTTACATAAGATCTAAGGTCTCCTTTATGTTCAATTAGCTCCATATTGCCATTCTTAGTAGTTTTGGTCAACCACTACCCACTGTGACCCCGGATGCACGGGCCCAGTAATTGGGTTACGCTGCCATTTGCTGTCATCTTTGATGTCCTCGAATCCGGCCAAATAATGCAATGCCAGTGCCATATGTTAACAGAAAATAAGGGGAGGATAGGTATAAGTATGGGTCACACATGAACCAACGCGCCGTTGGCCCAACAATGTATCGCGAAATTTGCACAAAATTTGAATAAACTGATTGAGTTTCAGTTTTTCAGTTGTTTGTAAATAGTGCGTCAGTGCAGGAAGTATAGGTCACATCAACGATTAACATTTAAATTATTTTTGCCATTTTGCGGCCTACGCAAACAAATGGAGGAAACACCCCAGCCAAACTTGCTTAAATTTTATTTTCTTCTTGGGAATCGTACAAGCTAAGGAGTAAGTGGTGGGCTGGGAAGACCCTTCAGTCGAGTAACTTGGCCACAATCGGATCCGGAGCGGACATGGCATAGCCCAGTTGCTGCAGAGCCCGCCGGATTTCGATGAAAACGCTGGCATCGTCGATGGTGGCCGGCAGGATAACTCGCTCATTCCGGGCAAAGTCCGCCATGGCCTTGCGCATCGTCTTGCCGGATCGCGTGCGTGGCAGGTTGTTCACGGACGTGATCAGCCGGAAGGCGGCGATGGGTCCCACCACGTCCCGGATCAGCTTGATGATCTCCGTCGACAGCTTGGCATCGGTCTTCTGGCAGTTATCCACCGGAATGTACAGGCACAGCGGCACTTGGCCCTTGGTGGCCTCGGGAACTCCGAAAACAGCCACATCCACCACGTCCGGATGCCGAAGCACTGCGTCTTCCAGGCTCGAGGTGGACAATCGATGTCCAGCCACATTGATCACGTCATCGTCGCGGGCTGTCACAAAGATATAGCCGCGGTCGTCTTTATAGCCGGCATCCATGGTATCGTAGTAACCCTAGATATATTTTATAAATTTTTTAAAAACCAATTTGTAGTGGATCTTTAATATATTTATAATTCCTATAGAACTTTGGACATTTTATTTGGTTGCATTTTATTTTGCATTTTAATTACAATTTTATATTGGAGGCTGATCCAGTATATAATTTTAATTATATTAATATTAATAAACCGCCGACCGAAATATATAAATACTATGTTACAACCTTTTTCTACATAATCATTTTATCATTTAAGCTTGAAACTTTAAATTGCATACAGAAAATATGAAAAATTCCCTGAAAGTGGCCCTAGAAACTATAAGAAGCTTTTAGTATAGTAACGAACAACGTGGTTTAAGGATTTCAGTAGATAGCTGTTTGAGAATTATAGAACTGAATATCGAGTTTTCTTTATATATTATTATATATGAATATTTCATATAAATAACTATATCTATTACAAATAATTTCTACTAAACATAGATTTTAATACGATTTTATCGAATTTAAATTGAAGTCTAAGTATTGAAAATATAGCTCACCGGAAACTTTTGGAAGTACAGCTTGCGAAAGAGGTCTTCGTTCTTGTAGAGGGTGGCCATGTTTCCGGGTGGTAATGGCAGCTTTAGCGCAATCCTGCCCAGCTCCGAGGTATGTGCCTCGCTGCCGTCCGGCTTCAGGACCTTCACTGCAAGAGAGATGTCCCAGGGCTTATTAATCCTCACTTAGCCAAGCTATCTGGAGCATCACTCACCGTCGTATCCCATGAGGGGCAGGCCCGTGGAGTAGGTGGGGGGACTGAGGTTCTGCTGGAAGCCCAGGCAGGTGGCGGTCACCGCGGAACCCGTCTCCGTCTGCCACCAGTGGTTGAGCACCGGCACCTTGAAGGTCTTCTCGATCCAGGACTTGGTCTCATAGTCGCAGTGCTCGCCGGCAATAAATATGGCGCGCAGCGACTTCATGGAGTACTGTCGTCCGTAGCTGATTTCCGGATCGGCGCGTCGGATCACCCGAAAGGAGGTGGGCACCGAGAAGATCGAGCGAACCTGGT